AACTCAAATGTCGAGGTGTGTGCGAACGCTGGAAGCGTTGCTCGATTGAGGGTGAACTGTGCTGAGGTACCTAGGCCTAGGCCTAGTTGTTCTTCATCGTCTTCATCGTCTTCATCGTCTTCATCGTCTTCATCGTCTTCATCGTCTTCATCTGCAAGTCTCTCCCCGATTCCCGACGTCAATCAGCTTCTCCATACTCTGATTAACACGGGAATTATCGTTCCTTCTACTACATCCAGTACTGAAACGAAAAATTCTAAGGAACAATCCATCAAGGAATTACCTTCTGCATTCCCCAGTTTCGATAACCCAAAGTCTCTAAAGGGCCCTTACGATTTCTCTGCTTTATACGGCGGAAAAACTCAATGCGGCTCTTGTGGATCGAGATTTCAGTCTGGTGAACGCGACAAGTACCGAGAGCATTTGGACTGGCACTTCAGGCAGAACAGGAAAGAAAAGGAGTATACTAAGAGGCCACACTCGAGGCCTTGGTTCTTCAAGATTAGTGACTGGTCACAGTCCGCAGATTCTGATGAAAAAAGTAAGTTTGCATTTTTTTTGTCGACTTGAAATAATTGCTCTATGCTCAACCTTAAATCGAAGTCTTTCAAAAAATATCATTTATCGATTTTGCCTGTCAATTGCAATTCTCTCAATTGAGTAACTTGTAGATTATTCATATGCAGTAATTACTTTCATTGTTGAGCTCAAATTTTTCAAGCGGTCTAATTTTACAAACATTTTATAATTAAATCACATTGATTAATATTTTTGTTCATTATTTTGTTTACAGAACCTAGCTGGTTTGAACAGCAGAAACTGAATGCTGAAGTAGATGGGGCGAGTACTACCGATCCTCGGCAAAAAATCATTCAACCCAGCGTACCGACTCCTAGTGATAAAAACATACGTTGTGCAGTGTGTTATGATGCATTTGAGGAGTTTTACCACCATGACGAAGAGTCATGGCACCTGAGACCGGCGGTTGCTTATGAGAATAAGAATTATCATCCTCTTTGTCTTAGTGAGTACAAGTCATCACTACCGATCGAGGAGAAGACTGCGCATGCATCAGTATCAAACCAGTGAGAAATGAAAGGCAAAAAATTGTTGTTATTTTTTTATATCGAGGAATTCACAAATGACGATTCAATGATGTAATCATGATCCTGTACTCAATTTTTAATTTGACAATATATTTTTGATAATTTAGAGAGAAAACCTGTTTTACGCATTTTTTTCAATAACCCTTCAAAAGATGGAAAGATAGTCTTCAAAAGATAGAAAGAAAAAATAATCATATTATGATTATTATTGAGTGTGGAGCAATTTTTCAATGATTCAATGAATGTTGAATTGTTTTATTACGTAAAGAATCCACAAAAATTATATAGTATAATAGTAGTGCAAAAACACATTATGAAAGCTGTTGGAATTTTTTACGAAGAAGTGTCCATGGATTCCGGCTCAATTCGTCGAACAGATTCACTCTCGATAATGATTGGACGAACACTTTTATCCAGAATAGCTGTAGTACCACGTTTGTAACGGTAATTACCGGATCGCTGGCCCTTGATATTAGCGATTTCATAAGGACGCATGTAGTCCACAGCACGAGGATCAAAATTGGCCCCACGAATATCTGTATTGCGAATGACACAGATGTCAACAGAATTACCGGAGCCCAAATCATTAAAAACACCTGCACGAATTGCATCAGCTACTAGAGCTTTACCCTCTTCTTCCTGTGAAACGAAAAAAAAAACCAGGCATTGCCAATTTCGTAAAATATTAAAGTGTAATTTAGTTTTTCATTGAATTCAGTTACTCACACTCATGTTTGGCTTCCACCTGCTCTCAAAAACAGCCATAGCAGCGAGAGAGCCAGACCCCATAGTAGTGAACATATAGGACTCACTGGATCCATGAGGAAAAAGTGAATAGAGATGTGGTCCAGTGACATCAACACCCCCCAGCACCAGAGCAGCTCCAATGTGTCCCTGATGACGGAACAAATGCTGTTTCAAGAGTTTATCAGCACTGGCAACACGAACAACACGTCCAGTGTTCAAACGGTGAAGCTCCAGCTGACTAGCGATCATGTCTGTCGTCTTCGAAGTATCTGCTGCTGTTCCAGCACCACAACAGCTGAAATATCATGTGCACATGTTTTTTGCGGAATTTAAACAAAAAGGAATTCGATTCAAATCAATTTCTTCACATTCTTACAAAATGTTTGGAGCGATGAAATGAATTTTCTGACTGTTTTTATCAGCAACGATATTCCCAGTTGTAGCTCTGGTGTCTGCACCAAGAATAACTCCATCTTTGATGATAATTCCAGCAATCGTGGTACCTGTCTTCTGGGCAATTGGAGCTAAGTGTCCCTTCTTAGCTAAGGATTCATTCCTAGATGAAATGATTATGGAAAAAGGTTTCATATGATTTTTCAATAAGCAAATGACACAGCAGATTGGTGTTATTGAGGTTATGTTTTGAAGGATTGCTTCTGAAAACGATTAATGACAGTTCAGGGGATGAGTTTTGATGATTGACTGGTTTACCTTTGGCAGAGATCAAAGGAGAATCCTGGAGGAGGAATTGCGGGGACTAGACCACTGGACATGTTTGAAAACTTAAGTTGAGTCTGGATGAAAGTCGGTTTCGGAGCTACACACAACAATTATAAGCAAGAATATGCGGTGGGTTTGCGGAATTGTCTCGCCGATAAGTGAAATTTCTGATATACCTGTAGAGAGTACCTCTTCCAGTTGTACTGATAGCGGGTAAATAATTAAATCGAGTGAGGGTCTTTAATAATTTTTATTATTACCATTTTTTTCAAAATTCACTCATAATCTAATTATATATATTCTGTAATAATAAAAAAAAAATTCATTTAATGTTCATTTAATGTCATTTAATATAAAAATGATTAATTCTATTACAGTTATGAATATAGTCGTATTGAGAGCTCTGGATAATCTAGATTATCCAACTAATTAGTTACTATTATGTTAATATTCATCTGTTAATTGTTTTTTTTTCTTCGCAACACATTTTCCATTGCGACATTCCTGGAGTCAAAAACAGAGAAAAAAATATTGCATTTTAATTTGTTGCCTTCTTCCTCGGTAAATAAACAAAAAGATTCACTTACACCACCGGGACAGCTGAAGCCATCATACGCAGGTCCAGTGTCTGTACAAAATATCCACCATTGTAGGCACGAAAGGTTTTGACAAACATCCGCTGACTAAATCAAAAAATCAATTTAAATTGATTATAAAATGAAAATTGAAAAATCCAAGAAAAATTCGGTCAATGTACCTCGCACGCCTCGGGATACCCTCTCTTTTCGCAGAGTTCATTTTCAGAAACATCTTTACCCGGCCATAACATATGATCAACCAATTCCCCTTGAGGTACATTAGGAATGTCATTGTCTAAACAATCTCCCACCTTTGATCTGCAATGATTAAACAATCGCTACTATTTTTCAATTGGTGATGAATTTAAAAAAGAGAATAATGATTTGCCTTAAAACACTGGACAGCCTTTCCTTACTGCATTGTGACCACTCGAACCCACGGTCATTATATCGGTAATTTCCTGACATTATGTATCCATCTTCATCATTACATTTCGATGATTTTCCCGTATCGTGCACTGCCCCAAGTCTACCAAAATCATGACATATTAAAAAATAAATAAATATATGAAAATGATTTTGGAGAGTGAAATTTACAGTTTAAAAAATATAACAAATAAAATTCAAATAAAAAGAAATCGAGAAAATTGTGCAACGTACGTATGGCCAATTTCATGAGCTGCCACATGAATCCCTGAATAGTTCATATCATCATGGATTACCGCAGCCATCGCTGAGATTACATTATGACAATCAGGACCACGAAGGGCACTTCCTTTTTTCAAATTTAGATCATTAATTTCCTCTTTACGTTTCATTACCCATATCAATGCAATGCTTACCAACGATGTGATTATTTTTACAGTCTCCCTCGCGCGTTTGTTGACAAATTGTCAGACTGGAATTTAAGAATTTCGGGATTATTATTTACGATAAGTGAAGTGCTACAAGTAATATGAATCGTTAAGTAACTCTACGATTTTTTCAGTAAAAATTCTCCTCTGGAATTCAAGTGGAATGATTACTGACCTTGTTTGGATAATTAGGATATCGTAGGATAATTCAGATATAATGTCGCTCATGTGAGCAACTGAAAACCAGTTAACAGCAAGACTCAGCATTCCGTGCTGCATGAAATCGGTAATAAATGGTAGTCCTTTACGTTCCTAGGCAAAAAAGTCATACAAGTGACTGAAGTGTTCCGCTTTTATAAAAAAGTGAATCCCCCCAAAAATTACATACCATATTCACAACAATCCCAGTCAATCTCAACTGGACTTTCGGATTTTTCAGAGTGCTAAATCGGAGATTCACTGAGTTCCAAAAACTGATTGTGTATATTATCAACTTCATGAACCGAAATTCCCGCGTTCTGCGGAATATACATTTTTTTAAAACAAGATCTCGATGGAATCAACAATTAAAGAAGATTTATTGTTATTACGTAGTGTATGTCTGGTTGTAATCGAGAATTACTGTTACTTCGGGGTAGATAGTGTCAGCAGTTGATCGTTTCAATCTGTCATACGAGGTTTTACTATATTTTACTGGCCGTTGCTTAAGTCGTCCAAGACTTCCCATCGCGGCTGAAAGCCGACAAATTTCAATTAGCGCAATTTCAAGTGTCACGCGCAATAAAAAAATTAAACAATTGCGGAAATGATTTGTTAACTTACACAAAAGAACTTTTTCATTTTCCGGTAACTTTGGCGTATAAAGCACGTGATAATCAGAAATTTGAAAATCTTCGGTTCCATTATCCCACGTTTGATCCTCGAAAAGATGAGGTTTTTCCTCTAAGAGACTTCTGACGCTTCTTTTTGATAATGGCGCTACTTTTGAACGATCAATGTTTCCAACCTATTCAAACAGACAGAGCAGGAATTCACTCTAACGTGGAAATCATATTTCAGATGAAACATCTTAATAATTAATATTCCTGATACAAATTATTTTTACTCACAAAATATAAATGACCATGTTCATCACTAGTGGAAACAATCGACCAATACAACATTCGATTCTCATAGAGTCTTACAGCATCGGTGATGACCTGAAAAAATAAATTGATAACTCCTCATTCCGCAAAAATTATTCCACCGACTGCTGCAATTAGCACGTATCATTAATTTAATTAATCATTTACGTTCTTGTCAGCTCTGACAATTTTCGAAGGGCTATAGATCAACCAAATAGGCGTTTCGGTGCGAATCACAGAAGTTTCTTTCATTACGATTGTGACATTCTGTCCAGATCTTCGAAATCGAAATTCCTTTCTGTTTCCACTCCCCGATTTGACATTTCGGTGTTGAAATTTTACGATTTCATAATTACCCTCTGGAAATAATGTAATTGTAATTGTAGTAATTGTACATACATTCGATTGTAGGATCATCATAGATCTCTTACCGGACAAATCACCTTCCCCGATATCAGCTAAATCTTCTCTCAGAAAGTCATCACTTTTGCTCTGTACCCGAAATTAATCAGGATATTTTAATAAAGATTGGGGTAATACACCAAAAGTTAAAAATATACTTACGCCATTGACAATTGTACCATGAATGCAGCACGTCACAACTAGTCCATACAAAATAGAGGGTAATCTATTCATATCTCTGATTAAAGAATAAATGTCAAGTAATCCCTCGTAGAGCAGTTCATAAAATTTATATTTCCTGACTATCACAGAATTTGTACGGATGAATGGTTTAACACAATATAATATTTCGTCTGGCAATTTCGTACATCTGCGTTAATAGTAGAGAGATTGAATAAACGCGGTATCTTGAGTAACCGATTTATCAGAATAAATTCGATTGGTTGAATCGTTCAAATAGCTGGCGTCGTACAGAGTATTAGAATTCAGCATTAACAGAAATATTGAAAAACACTCTTATCAGTTAGTTTGAGCAATTGAAATATGGATTTAAAAAGCTGGTCTCAGTATTTGGGAATTGCACTAGCACTGAAATTTTTCGCATCATAGAAAAGGCGGTGAGACGTGAGAGATAAGGATAAACTTCGTAATTTTATTATCACTAAACAAATAATGAACTGGAATCGGCAAGAAGATGAATTTTATGGTTGACATCGCCGTCAAAAATGAATTACAAAGAAGTATTTTTGAAATAAAAAAAATGATTAATCAACGAAAGTCTGTTCTAACATCGGACGTTAGACCCGTGGCATTTAAATCCCGCCTTTCCGCACAACCGATACAACAGATTTCAGGATTTTATCCATCCCTTCAGTCCCAACAATCGCACTCGAATAATTTGAATTTTGAATTTGAAGCCCCAAGTGCTCCAGTGATAAGAAATTTCCACCGGAGGGATGATAACGTCAGCAGTTTAAATAATTGGAGTATGACCCAGCAATTTTACGCAAAGATAAACCTTACCGATATCCCAAAATCCTCTTGGCGTAATGAGATCAAAGAAAACGTTATTTCCAGATTTAATCATAATTAATGAATCCCGCTAATCGTTAAAAAAAAAAGCAATAATCGGTTGATGAGTGGAAAAGGGCATTAAGATAAACAAAGCCCTATAAACCCACGGGTATTAAAGTAAGTAGTATCAAAGGAACATTTAATTAGAGAAAAATCGTAAACCTCTGAAAGCAATAAATTCACTGCTATCATTTTGCACTATACCATGCGTAATCCAAATAAAATAACAATGTGAGACATCAATGGAGAATTCAGTGGCACATAAAGTCTCAGACCGAAGAATAATGTAATGCCCAAATGCATAAAGTTTTACATTATAAAAGAGCCACTGAGAAAAGGCGTTGAGGTGCATCGAAGTGAATAGTGCGATAAGGGCTGTCAGCATCGTCATCATCTCCGAGGTACCAAGAGACGCATCTTCAGCACCTCAAATCCACTTGAAGAAACAACCCAGGACTAGGCACATTCAACCGCAATTTATCCCGATATTTAAAATGGATTAGTCCACCACTTGATGCCCCAGCCACTCACCCTTGCTCCAATTCCATGTGTTTTTTACTTCTATCTGAGGATCTATTTTCCATCGTCTCGGGGAAAACAGAGAAATCCTTTCAAATAGCTCTCTTTCAGAAAGAAATCAACTAGAGGATTAGGAGCACCTGACACTCAATGCTCATGGGATAAAATAGAGTTTCAAATAGAGTGGACCTTTGGACTATTCATCACAGGAATTCAATGAATTCTTCGCTTTAAATTACATTTTTTTTCGGGACATGGAGAATTAAGGTGAACCGTTTGGGAATCTCGTGATTATCAGACCGGTAATCTCTCCTGAATTACAAATTTGGGAATGATTTAATTCCTGAATTAAATGCCACAATGCAATAATCATAATACGATTATTGAGAATTTCATTTCTAGTTGAATTCAACTTTTCGATGAATATTCTAGAACCGACAATTCATTATAAAATCCATGACCTTACGCAAAAATGTGGTCATTAAAAAATTCATTAATTTAAAATCCTACATGCGATTTTTTTCTCGTAAACATAAGAATAAAAAATTCCGGGAAACCCAGCGGAATACAATCCAATATCGTATTTTTTCCGAAACGTGTGAAATATACGACGGGCCGAAATTTTCGGGCGAAATGAAGTTTCCAGACCATTCAATAAAGACCTAAGAACTGCGTCAAATATATGCATCATCAATAACAACAATTTCTTCTCAACAATGATTATTTCTTGCAATACCATAATCTTTTTTCCGAATACCCGATCGAACCGTTTGATTTTCCCATTCAGCCCATACCGATCAGTTCCATTCTATCCACAATAAATGTTATCAAACTTGTGAAACGAAACGAAAAATGTTGAAAACGCGAAAAACTCATTCGTTTGAAACTCGTGAATAGTTTTTTCAACAAGTGAAAAAAAGTAATAGGCGGAAAAAAAGTGAGGTGGAGAGGGTTACGATTCGATGAAAAATATTCAGGAAAGTATGCGAAATAACCAAATAGCAATAGTGCTTTGTGAACGATGCCTTGGGCAAGTTAGGAGTCCAGTCGAGTGAGTCAAGAGGGTGCCCCCTAGGTGAATAGATGGGGTACAGAGTTAAACAGCCAGAGGCTAACAATTCCACTGGCTGCCAACTGGTATTCCCCCATACTCCAACATCACTATGTACACTGCTTTGATACATACATGTCTCTACATACCGCCTTCTGGGCTAACTCACACCTTTCAATATGTATATTTTCCCATTCTATCCCTTCATCCATTTTCACTCCCCCCCTTACCCTACGCGTTCTTCCCTTTCACCATTGTACATAATTACATTTCTCATGCATATGCATGGATTATAACAGCTAGTCTCCCTTTTATACTGCGTTTTAAGCAATTCTGCATTGCCTCAAAGAGATTATTTCAAAAAACTGTTTTTTCAGGGATAAAATTGCTAGTCGAGTTCGTTCTATTTTAAATGTTTCACTTGCATTGTCACGTATACACTTGGCAATCTGATTATATCCTCTATATTATAGGGTTTTTACATTGTATTTATTAGTTGTGATAGTTATTCTGGATGATCACTATCGGCGCCAATTCAGGGAAAACTCCGGTGAATTTTTAATTAGGAATAATTTAGGCGTAATTGTTGAATTAATTTACAGGAAAGATGAGTAATACAATATTATGCTGAATAATTGAAAAATTTCTTGATTTCTTCATATTTAATTATTACAAATATATGACTATTATTGATATAGAATAATTGAGAAAAAACAAATGGTCATTTTATTTTAAGTGAAAATTAATCGATAATTTTTTAAAGAAAAAAAAAATCCGATACTCCCCTTTTCCCCTTGTGGCTGATAATTAAAAAAATGACCCGTCACACCCCAATTTCCAACCGCTAAAAGTGAATGATTATCAAAGTTCAATGAATAATGGATGAAATTTGAATAAATTTCCGGTCCAATTTCCTCTGCGCTCCACCCAACGAGAGACGTCAGTTTCATTTAACCGAGTAATTAGTCAACGAGAATGATACAGATTGTTTAGTAAGGCTTGATGTTAATGAAATTCTAGTTAATGAGATAGAAACCGTCATATCCCGAGTAATTCGATTTACCAAAAGGAGAATTAAATTTTAATTCCAAAAATTACCCGATTGCGCATGAGCAAAAAAAATACTGTGTGCCAATTTCAATTTGGCAACGCGAGCTATCTGCAAATCCAGAAGCCATAAAAGGTTGAATCCGGCGGATTCAACTGGGAGCAGAGACTCGAAGAACTTTGAGATTCTCCTTTAGCATGTGAAAAAAAAAAAATCGACCGTTTCATTTCCCGGCATTAAGATTTTTTATGGCATTTTTTTTTTCCACCTCGGATAGAGAAAATCTGCTGGATGTCATTGCCTACTTTTTCTATCGGAGCAACAATATGACGAACTCATGATGCATGAAGATTATAATGCAGATTGAGGTATTTACAGTATGGTCAGCTCGTTGGAGTGATAAAGAGATTAATCCATGCGAAGCTTTGTCCGATATTTGAAGTCGCTGGACCATGATGTATTTATTATTTGTGACCTGATAAATAGGATTATCTGCGGTAACTGCGAGTTTGTAGTAAATTGTAAGAGCATTACCGGATAATCTGGAGTTGCACATTGGAGAATTCTTCCTATCCACTAATATATTCATTAGACTCGAGATGATTAATTTGGAGCATCGAGGTAATTAATCAGCTATAATCGTGCAAAAGAGGAAAAATTGACAGCGAATACGTTAATTTTTCAATGAATTCAGTCATAAAGAAAATTTAATAATCTCTAGTGCTAACTTGGTACAGTCATCCTGATTAAAACATCAAGTGTCTTGAACACAAGACAACGGATACAACAGTTAAAATGAATAATGAATTAACAAGAACTGATACGTCAGAGCTAGAATCTGCTGGTGCTTCTTGGGCGAGTTTTTCATTGTTAGCCCTGAGTGATACGACGGCCTTGGTATCACGGTAAGGTGCACCTGGTACACCCGGTAAGATTGATCTGCATGTGAGGCTGAGGCTGCCAGATGCGTTGAAGTATTCCCTCTGTAGTGGCAATGACAACTCCAGCCGAGTCGATGAAACGACTTTTCCATCGATGCGCCCTGAATCTGGAAGTTGTCTTGTCAGGGCTTTCGTCACCTGGGGCACACGTTAAATATCTTATTACCAATCATATCCCGACGGCATCCACTGCTCCAGTGATTAATTTAATTAACGTCCGGCTCAACATCACTCCGGCCAAATGCCCAAATTCATCATTCAAAAGGAATATTTGTATCAATAATTCCATAATATTTTTTAATTAATGAATTAATACTTTTTGGTCGAGCTATTCAGTTCTCAATTACTCCATTTTCTAGCTTTTTCACGTCAATGATTCGTATGAATGTATATTTATTTTATAATAAATTTCAGTTTTTAGTTATTTTTTTAGATTCGTCGAGGTGAAAATAATGAATTGAAAAAAATGAATTGAAATTCATATCGATTGAAGAGATTCATTGTGGGTATGTCCATTTTTGAAGCTTTCTATATTTTATGGCGAACTCAAAAGTAAGTAACGCTATTTCTTTTATGGTCTTGTACGTGGGTTTAAGAGGACGAATTGTCCTCGAAAATTCACTACCGCTGGGGATATTTTTTCACTTATGGACAGGAATTTCATGAAGAATGATGAAAATAAAAATTGAATCATTCCCGAGATGGGAATTTTTGAGAGTAGCCTCCCTAAAAACTCATTTATCCCAAAAACTATGAACTCGCTATGAAAATATAAGAGAACTTTTTTACAACTGACATTTCTAAAAAAAAAGTTATTGTTATTGTCCCATAAAATCGAAAATTTTCCGCCTGAATTCATATTCAAAAAAATGTAAAATCCTACTTATCGCACTTATCTCTTAAAATTATCATCAGTTTATGGTACATTTCAATCGATGAAAAGAGTATTGCATACATTCAAAAGACCTATCCCCACATTTTCATTACACAGCGTTAAATCTCTCAAAATTACTACGACTCCTGAAAACCCGAAAGAGAGAGGACTGACAAATTCGAAATAGCCCTCATTCGATGAAATATGAAAATTGAAAAAGCCACGTCCTGAAATAACGATCGGAAGTCGTAATGGGAGACGTGCACCACGAGAATCGCGGGTCAGTTTACGAGTAATTGAAGTCATGGAAAAAGGTATTCGAAGCTGTAAAAGAAGAAATAATAAAAAAAAAAACAGACGAAAAGGCTGAAATACCTGAATATCCTTGAGATAAAAAGTTAGCTCAGCGGTTGGATAACTGGGGGCCGATGTGCATTCAGCCTCGAGTACATCCCCAAGTTGGTAATGAGAGCGGAGACCCCCGAGGGCTGGATTTTGCTGTGGTAGTACGGCAATAGTTAAATTTCCCATATCGTACTTTGTGTCAAATGATGGACGGTCTTCCATCACTTCACAAGCGTATGTACCACCAATGCCGACCTCTGAATTCATAATCCACGATTAATGAGATTGACTGCTAAATATTTGAATTGTTTCGATAAAATAACTGATAAACTACAGGGAATTAATAAAGCTTGCCTGTTTCCGTGTTCATCTGGATATTGGTATGTTGTAACAGTACAACAACTGTGTCGTTACTATCCACTCTACTAACTCGCACACCAGTTACATTAAAGTCCTCACCCGGAGGGTTGAATGTTGGTGCATACCTGAAGAACTCGTTACCGTCTTTGTACCACCTGACCTGGTAAAGTGTCTCACCAGGGCTCAACTCGTACTCACACCGTAACATTACTTTTTCTTGTCGTGGATCCACTACGCCTGGTATATTTAGTTGGACCATCTTCACTGATTCTCCTGTGTAACAAGTTCACTGTGTAACAATTACACTCCTACAAATAAAACCTCACTACCATTTTTAATCTCTATCAATTCAATAAATCATTCATACAAAAATAATTTTCACCATTTTCAAATAATTTGAAAAGCCGAATAAAATAAAAGAATTATCAATGAGAAAAAATTCTGAAAAGGGAAGTAATAATAATAAAATCTGCAGGTGATGTGGGAATATCCGAGGAAATATCATTTGATTCCAAAGTCAACTCGACATATAATTTCACCTAATAGCCAACTTGATGCGTAATTAACGATTCCATTAATCGAGGCAAACTCACTTCTCGAATAAAAATGGAAATTCTCGCGATGCACCCACTCACCAGATACTCCCATCCGTTAATGAGGGAGCGAAATAATAATAATAATCGAGAGGAGACCCTTGAGCTAACCCACGCGAATTACCGACAGATTAATTATTCCCCCTTGAATTTTTTTTCACCCATCATCACGGGTTTTTGAATTCATCTGAATCGGGTACATACGATAACCCGATCTCTAGCCACTACAGTATCCCCAAGTAACATCCCAATTAAAGATTCTCCTAATCATCTCTACTTATACCGAAACAACTCATAATCTCGCTGATTGCTCGACTCGTGTCCTACAATTTCCCCTCATTCTCCACGACAAAGGGGTCACCATTTATGATGTCAAGTGGTCAGTCGCCACTAACTTTCTTCGTTTTACAACACATTACAACTTTACGAATTAAAACAGTTAAAATGTCTCAAACGAAACGGGAGAGAGAGAGGAATAGAGAGTTGACACAATGAAAATGTTAAGAGAGAAAGAGAAAAAAAAAGAAAAAGAAAAAGTCACGAAAGGGAGTCGACCCGGTGACGCAATCCCCTGGGTTATTAGAACCAATTGGCTCCCCGAGAAATATTCACTATCAAATGATGATATAAATATAAATAAGGAGATTACAAGAGTCAGTCGGAGCGCGACGAGATCTCGTGGCTCCTATTGTTTTCTGGCAATTTTTTCCCCTTGTTGTTTTTTTTTTCCGCGAGAGGAAAAATGAAAAGGCTGACAGAGAAACAGAATGAGTGAGTACATGGGCCAATGAATGTACGTCCGCTCTCAAACACAATACCGATACAGAAGGTTGACGTACATACGCTTTACCTATACCACACGATAACGGAATGTGCCTCAATTACGATTCTATTGTTAATTATTGCTGAGCACCGAGCATACCCTCCGGTTTTTCATTGTTTCGCCCTCAAGGGCTCTCTCCTCATCCTTTTTTCCATCTATTATACAATGTTTTTTTTTTGCGTTATTTCAGGGACTCTGGATACAAACCGACTATTCATCACATATTAATGACCCACTCGGGGTACCTTGTCGATCAAATATTGTATTTGTATTCTTTTCATCTCAGTCTCTCGATTATTTAATGCTGACGTTTTTGATTGCACTCGGGCGTATGACAAAGAGAATCATTTATTCGAAATATTTTTTTTTCACGCTGACGTGCACTCCGGGGAAATCGTCCAGAGGGCTGATCAGGTTAGATGAGAATTTTAGGATTCAAATGACAGAATTTGCATTATTTCAATGGGAGGACTGGGGGTGGGGGATGATTTTGATAAGATTTAACTGTTCGGCAAAACATTTGCTTTCTGAAAGTGGATGATTCAAGATTCATTGGTTTTTCTGGGTGAATTATCTGTAATTAATGGAATCATTAATATCGAGGTATTTACTCTAGTCTGTTTGTCGTGCCGTAATGAAATTGAATGGAGAAATTAATAATTGATACTCTAATTTACCTGTTGATATAATGGTAAGAATACATAGTCCGAGCAGTTGGAGTTGCATTTTAAATTGACGGTAATCCCTCACTCAATTGTTATCACACCGTTAATGATTAATGTCTCAGTACATCGTGTGGTTTAATGAAAAAAAGTTTTTCCAATTGGATAATTAAGTTATCGTTGATGTCTTCTCAGATGAATTTATTTCGCGGAATTGAAAACTTCTCGGTTTTGCGTACTGGTCAAATCCATTTCCAGCTGAAACTAATTGGCACGACTTAATTAATCTCAAAGTTGAGGGCTCACCCCCACCACTTCACTCGACAATTGACGATTTTCTTGTTTTTTCTTCCTCTCCTTCACTCCCATTACCGTTATCCCACTGTCACTCAAATCCAGCCCCTCACTTTGCAAAAACTCGGCCAATTTACGATTAAACTTTATGGTTGGTATATTTCACTGAGCATCAGCACTTGATTTTTTTTTCTTCAGTTAATTCACCGGGAGACAAAAAGTAGAGAAATGAAAGTAGAAATTAGTCACCAGTTTCCCACAACTTTTGCACTTTGTATTTTTCACTTGGCGGTATTTTTTAAGACGAGCACAAATCGAGAAGTGGAAAAAATTTGAAATTGATGATTGCAATTGAAATTGGTACGAAGCAGTGAAAAAAAAATGTAGAAATGAAAAACAATTATTTAATTATCAACATTGGGGAGTTTTTTGGGAATTGTGGAGGCCGGGGGTGAGTGGATTTTTAAATAAAAAATTGAGAGAGTGCGGGAGTAATTGATGCATTGAGCAATATTCGGGTGTTAATTGATGGAAATGGGTGATTTGAGGGTTGATGGATAAATGCTGATATGTTTAATAGAACTGTGATGGATGTGGATCGGAGATGTGTCTCGTGATGTGATGTCTCTGGAGGCTGGTGTATGACAGAACAGCGGCATGAGGCTTTTCAGTAATACACATGAGAGTGGGGCTTGCGCATGTGCACTATTTTCCCTCCTCCTATCAGGGTTGAATGTTTGAATGCCTCCACGGACCCTTCGTCATCAAAATAAAAGGCCGGGGATAACTGGGTTTCGAAGAAAACTATCAAGTTCAAGGTGACACAATGGAATTAAAATTAATTAGACATGATTAATGAATATATACTTTTGCGGAAGAGACAGGAGATATGAAACGGTTTTCCTTGGGGAACTTTGCATGCATCACATCGTCTCATCTCCATTCAGCCATGGAAGGGCTCATTTAGGATCCACTTACGGACTCTTTTCTCTATATTTCTCATTCAAAGCCCTCGTCTGCCGAACTCTTCTTAATCCGCTACACCGGGTAATAATACATGGACAGAAAAATTCATGGCTCTGATATTTTTTGTCTTTGAAGATGCCAAATGTTCAATATTTGATGTTTTTTTTTTCAATTGTTAATTGGTTCTACTGCACTATCTGTGTACATTATTGCATTTATTCCAATAATGACAATATTTATATTAAAAATAGAATTTTTATATTTTTCAATTCAAAAGAATGCGGTGGCAAATTGATTTTATATGTATTTTATTTTATATGATCCTAATATAAATAGGAGGCAGAATTTCCATCTCGAAATATCTCGATTGATCGCAAAGGTAATCGAAACCGACCCGCCGATATACGAAGTCATAGCAAAATGTTTTTAATTAAAAAAATGTTAAAAATTTATGGAATCGCGAGAATTCGGGAATAATTGCGGAGATCAAGGGTGGTTGGAAATTATTGAAGAAATCTTGACGTAAGACGAAACCACACCGTCACGACGACATCTAAACCTCAAAGATTTCGAATGAAAGCGCGCGCGAACTATCGGCCTTTATTTAAAAAATGATAATTTTGCATTGTGTGCAGTAAATTTTTGTTGAAAAGTCCGTCTCACTGAAATTTGAATGAATTTTTCTTTTATTTTCTTTTCTCCGTGTATTTACTTGTTCTCTCCCCGCACACGATACCAAACAATTGACGTATTACCCTCGGGGGTCGAAGTCGTGGGCACATCCCGCGAATTAAATATTCAGAAGATCGTAACATCGACATTCAACATTCAAAGCTGCCACTTTTACGTCTCACTCTGGCCTCGTAATTTCACCATCGGCGCTGAAAAAAAAGGAAATTTATGACAGACGGATGAGTTGAATTTTTCTTTCTTAAAGGAGACCTTTGAATTTGTTAACATTACCGAGAGCACGACGGAACTTTGCCGGAGCAAAATGTGTATTTCAGTTCTCGAATGGAAACTTTTTAATTAGGAACTTCCCGAGGACTTGGTCAATATAAGATGATGTTTTTGTCCAGATGAAAGATGTATCCGATAATTCACAAGAATTTTCCGAAAATTACGACTGCTAAATTTCTCTCCGTCATTCCCAGGACGAATTAATAGTCAACGGGATAAAAAATATAAGGGAAAAATACCTCAGTTTTACTACTTCAGCGGAAAATTTTCCCCGGAGCAATTTTATTCCTTCTATTACCACTGAATTCTCCTCGGATCCATCGAATTCTCCTATCCCGTATCAGTAACATCTCCACGAGTGGTCACCGAAGGAAACTCGAGCCAAAACCCATCAATGAAGCACTCCGAGAGTAATAAATATCCACTCGAAATGTCCATTCGAAAACAATCAAAGGATTTTACCTCCTTGAAAATATGGAAATGAAATAGTAAAAATATATAACGTGGAAAAAAAAAATAGGTCGAAAATTTTTCATCGCAGGATCGTGTCAGGTTACGAGGGACCTCGAGAGAGATACAGTCCTTTAGTGAGGGGAAAAATACACGACAACGTAAACGTATTTTATGTCCTTAAAAGCAACCTCTTAGTCCCGACGTGTCCCTGAGTACCTATCTTACTTTTATACCCCCTTGTGTAAAATACGACTACGAAAATATGTCTCAATATTCTAATTGACTCATACAGACCCAATTTATTCCAATCCCGCGCCCATTGCATTTCAATATTCCGTTATAAAAGTTTCACGCAATGATTAATGGACTCGAGAGGAATCCCGTGCAAAACTAAACGCAAAAAGGCCATTCGGAGTCTATTCCCATATCAATACTCAACTATTAAAAAATTATTCCAGCAATTTCAAGCGAATAATCATAAAAATTTTAATTTTCCGAAGATAATGGAAATTTGAGGTTTCGAATATTGGTAATTTATGGGAGTTGCATCCACAATAAGTAGAGAAAATGGATCAATATGGAAAAGTGAAATTCAATACGCAGTAATTATCGCAAGTGTGGAAATCGATATGCATGGAAAAGTAACTTTACCGCACGCTCCGCATACCTAAAAAGCGACTTTCCCGCACATTACGAAGGAAAATATCGCTCGCAACTCGCGCTGAATTTTTTTTTCGCGTCTGGGATTATACCACTCTCCTCCGGCTCGTACAACCCTCCCCCACGCCAAAAATCACTTTTCCGCACTTGTTACAAAATATACGATTTTTTCGTTTGTGAAAGGGAAAATATTTATTCCAGCTGTTTGTGTCTACTGTTGTGAACGGAAATCATCCCGACGTGTCAACAAACTAGTTGAATAGATGATAACAAACTTCATATACCGTAATGTCTACAATTCCTATATGACTTGGTTCGATATTTTGCGTGAGTGAACGCCTCGAACTCCCCAAGGGTTTCCACGAAATGCTATTTCGCCGAGAGGGTATACATTTACCAATAATTTATCTCGGCGTTGATTGGTCATCGTCAAAGTCCTCGTTGCGGGACGTGACTATCCTTGGGTGTAACTACCTCCAGGGAGCCATTTTCATGGTACCTTCTGTACTGGCAACCCCTCTTTATCTTCTCACTGTCAAGGGTTCACCGAGAAAATCAAAAAGGGACAAAAATCCTTTGAATAAATGACAAGGGATCATTATGACTCACTCCATACTTGCCATCACAAAAATCTCATATCTCAATCGACAGAATTACTCAATTAAAATTACGTTAATTATAAATTCAAGAGTCTTACGCAATTTTTATCAGAATTAAGATTCTCTCATCATAATTTTCATCGTCGAATTACGGAATCAGCCAGGGAATTATGTGTCCCGTCATTTTTACTGAACGTATCGATGTGTGGAGGGAGGGAGAGTCAATACCAGCAGAGGCTAATATTGATCAATTGATCGCTTAATTGATCTCGTGGGTAGTCTTTGTTCAGTTTAATATATACTCTTGAAAGTCCATTAATTATTTGATTTCGTCATTTGGCATCTCATGACTTTTCAGGACTTTTTCAGGATTTTTCATTTCTCTCGGTCAATTATTTTCATTACTCATCATTATTTCTTTATTAATATAAATATTACGAATACCATGAGATGGATAAAATCCCTTGATATAATCCGCTTCTAAATTGCTGTCCCAATTCATTCAGTTGGTGGAAATAATTCTCTCAGCATAATTATTAAATAATCATCAAAACAAATAGATTATACTAATCCTATCTTGTACCCAGTGAATTCTATAAATGGAAAGATTATCGTAATGTAATAATAACGCCACTAAAAAATCCAAAGTTATCGAGGTGGAAATTGACACGTTAAATAGTATCAAGTGAGTCTCTCACATATTCCCACAAAACTCGATGAAAGCGTGAAACATCTGATGATGTGTATAACTTGATTACTCGGTATGTGCAAGAGGATTACTCCAATCAATTGGGATCGCGATTAATTTTCTCTCCCCCCGCGGACAAAATAATAGGATCAAAGGGAACGGGCCAATAAAAATAATAAGTGGAAAGCAGTCACGCAATTGGTCACTTCTCCAATGGTTTAAAAAAGAAGGACCGGCCTTTCAGTAGAATTTGGGAGTGTCTGAATGTTGTTGAGCATGCAATGGCTGGAGTCATCATTTCCAAACCGAATCCCCAAGAAAAAGCCAATTTACCACAACCCCAAACGTGACTCACCGAACGATTAGTCTTCATTTTTCTATTTCGAGGGATATTTATTCCGTGGAAAGCCTCAAAGGGAAAGGAAGAATAAAACGGGAATAATGAGTTGAGTTGAAAGAGCTTTTATGAAGTTGAATAAACACCCGAGTTACTCATAACTAAAATGAGGGCTTGATCCTTGGTCTGCGTCGAAAAGTGGAGAAGAAAAAAAATAAAAAGAAAAAAGAAAAAAAAAATGGCGAGTCCCATGGGGTTGATGTGGAGTGAGACCCCCTGGAGGGAGAGTCAGTCTGAGCGGGTGAGGGTAATTATCTGTTTCTCAGGTCCATTACACCTAGGGGAAGACCCCGAGGAAGTGAACCTCTGCTGCGTGGGCGAATTGGGTAGGTGGGAGAAATAGCAAGGCCCCACGGTACGTGCGGGGAAATAAGAATGAGGGGAATTATCCTCGCCGGAAATTACTGGGGTACTGACACACTGGTAAACAAAACCTCAATATTGTGTACTACTATCGAAACATTGAGCAAAGAAATCGTTAGAAGGAACCAAAAGGCTCGTCGTTGCACAAATATTTGGATTTGTATTTCGTAATGATACATTTGGGCGAAATAAATATCTTCGCGCTGATCAAATAGTCTGGAAATTGAATCGAATCAAATAGTTATCGAATTTTTTAACTGAGCAATCGAATAATCAGCTGTAATATTCCATTGAATTATTGAAATGTCGAGTTATTTTGGTAAATTTCGAATGAAAGAAAAAATGGTGCGAGGTATTAAAAATATTTATTGCAAATGGAGTATTTATTTTTCCATAGAAGAATACGACAGCTACTTCTCTTTGATTGATCACGATATGTGTCAATGTGTCTATTCCTTGAGATGGAACTTGTACACGATGAATTGATGCTGTCATGAAGTGTCTTCTGAATTGATGTATTGAAAATATTACAGACTCCGAAAATTCACAGCATTATCCAATAAAATCAGAATTAACCGAAAATTATAAACATCAATTACCCGAACAACAGGAATTGTTTCTGGATGTACTTTGGCATGATAAAACGCTAGTCTCGACGTGTTTAGCATCGAGGGAGGAACCGGAGATTGGATGCTGTCACCGAGCCAAGCTCGAGTGACTATCACTCAGTTACGTGCCTAGACCCTCTAATGATCAAAAGATTTTTCCAACTTGTTTGTATCAACTTCTATGAAGAACTGTCCACAATCCAAGTTGTAAACATTATTGCGATGAATATTCAGGTGCCCAATAACGAAATCCAACCGCAACTACACTGACAAAATAACTTTTTTCACTGAAAACAATTCTCCTTCTATTATTAATTATACAAATTATAGCAAGTATAATTACATTAATATGCTGATTAATATCTCATTACGATTATTATTATTTATTATGTTATCAATGAATGAAATAAAAATAAGTAGAATTTTTCTAAAAGCGCGAAATGACAAAATCAGACGACACTGATGAGAATATTTTTCGGCTCTTGTCGAACTACCGTAACATCTATTAATTCCCATTATCATCAAAATAATGCAATAAAGGTCTTGCATTATACATAATACAGGCTATGTGTACTGAAGGTGTAGCCGTAAGCTTGCTTTCAACTCTGATCGACAAAGTTGGTGGGATACAAGGAGAGGATATGTGGGATATGGGCAGACAGCGGCAGTAGCTGTGGCGACGACTAGTCTCCAGGAGTGAGTAAGAAGGAAATCTCATGAAGAGATAGGACGAGAGAGAAGGAGTAAGATCCTGGCTGAGAGAGTAAGATCCTGGGGTACGGTGGTAACTATTGGTTCAACTTGCCCTCTCACTCACACTACCTCCAACTTCAACGTTAAGATGGACTAACTTTGATAAGATATCAGTTTACCCTTACTCTCGATTGATTATCTTTCTTTGGCCCCTCCACTGCTTCCCGTATTTTCGCCTCTCCGGGGAAGAAACCGCCCGGGAGAGTACGGCTGCTTCGACGTAGTCTTTATGTAAATCTACGTCAACATCAAAACTGTTTATTTATACCGTCTGCTTATCAGAATCCTCCCCAAATTACGGATGTTATCTATTGGTCATTCATGGCTTATTCCCCTATTTTTATTTCTTGCCGCACACTTGTAGCGCAATTTATATAATATTGCACAATTTTTAAAAATGAGAATTTTTGATAATCATTTTTATTCATCTTCCTGCAAGTGTGTAATATCTTGCGATAAGAATTTTTGGAAATCATCTTAAAATTTTTATGATTTTTATTTTTTTTTTTTGATACTATTATTATTTTTCTATTTCTTTCTCATAAAAAATATTGACGTTGATTTAAAATTTTGAATTCTAAGTGAAAAATGGCGCGCAAAAGCGATGGCAGTCGGCAATCGGCAAGGAAGCTGAATCCTCGATAAGTTACCCACCTCAGGTGCCAATAAATCCCCAAAGATCCTCCCTCAGGAGGTCAATTAGTAACATAAAACCTAACCAAAACTGTTGGTCTCAGTTCCCGCAGTTGCCTTCGGTCTCGGCTGTTCTCTCCCTCTATTTTCGGCCCATAAAAATCGATTGAAACAAATTTACAAGCACCAAAATTCACCGAATAAAATTAATCACGTTTGATCGATAATCGCAGTGAGCAGTGAATATCAAATTAAAAAAAAATAACATCAGGCGCAATTATTTGCGAGTGTTCGATTGTAAATAATCGAGTGCTAGGACTCACTCCTTTGGAATTCCACTCATTTCCTCCCCTTCCTTACTGGAAATACTCAATAAATGCAATGAATTAATGATCGGACATCGGATAATGAGGATAAATCTCGGTGATGTGTGACTATTAGAGATTAAATTATTCAATTTTTCTAGCATTTTTTTCAATACATAACGCACTACACACGCGCATTGTTTCGTTATTGCCTTCGATCCCCCCATGAATCCTCTGTGAACCCCTCGATGATCACGATAAATCCCTAATTTTAACCTCAACAATGCTGAGGAGTTTGTTCGGATTATTCGAGAGAGATTGAAAAACAATAATCGACAGGTAAGCATCGGCATTCCATTGTGAACATGATGATTTATTCCCACTGCATGTTGTTTCCATCTCTGAATTAAAACGCAAATTTAAAAACTAAGGAAATTATCCAAACCTATTCATTCAATATTGTTCATTGAAATCTGAATAAATCGCATATTAAATAGTAGGAATTGTCAAAAATTTATCACGAACCCCTGAGTAATCGTTGGCATCATTTCTTATTGGATGTTTTTCATAGAGGTAGTGGAGTAGTCTTCCATTCCTTTTGTTGTCTTATTTTCGAAGTCTTCATTGTCCTAGAAGTTCTTCTGATAAATTGAGCTCAGGTACGAGGAATTTTGAAGAAAAACTATCTGTAATAAAAGTTTATAGACGGAATCGTTGAATTGCTAAAGGACAAGGAGAGTAGATAAAGCTTTAGTTTCTTTTTATGTTGGGAGTTAATTACATTATTCGTGAAATGGACTATTTTTGTCCTTGAAAAACGCACATAATTAATTTACTTGAGACTTTTTTTCGGAAGATAAAAAATTACAGTGAAATCAATCTTTTTGAAATTTCTCTTCAATCAGTAATCTCACACTAATCTCGTGAGCTAGATCGTGAAAGAATAAAATGACAAATGAAATTCCTAAAAAAAATGTGACATTTTTCTTGAATATTTTGTTATAAAACTCCCAGAACAGGATGTACGCTCTTCCAATTCGTTCGGCATGCCCAGGAGAGGACAGTCAAGACGAGCAGGAAACTCGTCGTCGTCAGGAGCCAGTACGACCGACTCAGGACTGCAGTGGATTTGACATTGTTAGGGCAACTCAATATGGAGCCTTAGAGCGAGTGACCGAGCTGGTAGAAGCTGGTGCTGATGTAAATCAGCCAGATGCCGAGACAGTGACGTTGCTCCACTGGGCAGCCATCAACAACAGAAAAGAAATAGTCAAATATTTGATAGCCAAAGGGGCTAATGTAGATGCTGTGGGTGGAGAATTGGCATCAACACCACTGCACTGGGCCACGAGGCAGGGACACCTCGAGACATTTGCTATTCTCATGAGGGCTGGGGCGGATCCAACGCTCAGGGATTGCGAGGGCTTTGCCTGCATCCATCTGGCAGCCCAATTTGGACACACTGGAATTGTTGCTTATTTAGTTGCCAAAGGAGTCAATCCCAATACTCCTGATCGCAGTGCCATGACACCACTCATGTGGAGTGCTTACAAAGTCAACAGGTAATTATCGAGAAATCATTCAGCCCTTCCGTTGGTCACATGTGGTGGAGGGTAAAATTTTATTGTCACAGAGGATATCAAATAATGCAATTGTTGATCAACTGGAGTGGATTCGTTCAAAAATATAAAATGGAAATTATTTGGAAATGTCAAAATCGAAATTCCACTCGCGTGTCCTGCGGAGGGCTCATTATTTTCCTTTCTGAATTGAGGGAGAAAATATAAACTCGTGATGTAGCCAATACACTCCCTTTTTCAGTCTGGACCCAACGAGACTTCTCCTCATGCTTGGCGCCAGTCACTCCTTGACTGACAACCTTCATGGAAATACAGCACTACATTGGGCAATTATTGCTAAGAATAATACCGCCATTTCCACCCTCGTTCGTCAGGGGGCTGCACTCGATGTACCTAATTTTCAGAATGAAACAGCGATGACACTGTTGGGGCCGCATATCGGAGCTGCTTGGCTTGGCCCAGGGATTAGCATGGAAATTGTAGAGAAACAGGGGAGAACCAGAGCCTGGTGTCGAGACAAGGTAATTTCTCCACGTGTCGACATATTTTTTTTTCTCCATTACATTGTTATTTAAAAAATTGAAGGAATAAATCAATTGGATCAATTTGTTTACAGAGATTACGATGGTACTGCATGGTCAGTGCCCCATTCATAGTGTTTTATCTAATCGGAATGATATTTCAATTAAACGTGGATTATCTCGTTAAACTCGGTGCCTTTATGTTACTCTACATCGGTGCTTACACTGCTAAAACATTTTTGTTCGACGAGAGACTCTACAATGTTTTACCAATGGCAACTTATCTAGCAACGAAGGTACGCCTATCTTATCTGTAATCAAATAAAAATTTCTAAATTCTTAGTAATAAAAGAAAACGATTTTTAGATGTGGATTTATGTGACTTGGATATTCTGGCTGGGCGTTCATGCTTCTTGGTACCTGTGGCTGCTGTTAGTTGGTGGTTCAGTTCCACTGTGGATATGTTTTCTTCGGTCCTGGAGGGGAGACCCTGGGGTTATTGCTGCTACTCATGAGGACAAATTGAGTGTGAGTCCTCTAAGAGAAAGCCTAATCATCAGATTGAATTCAAATGGACGGACAGAGGGGATTAATTTGAGAATTATTATTTTTCAGACTATCGTAGAATTAGCAGAAACAGGCGGCTTCGAGCCTCAGTGGTTTTGCACCACTTGTCTAGTCAGAAGGCCACTTAGGTCAAAACACTGTTCCGCTTGTGATCGTTGTGTTGCTAGATTCGATCATCACTGTCCTTGGATTAGCAACTGCATTGGTGAGAATGAAAATTAATTTTTTTACCCTTCATATGTCGAATGATGATTGCACTCAATATATTATTGATCTTTCAGGGGCACATAATCACAAATACTTTCTTGGCTTCCTTATATCACTACTTGGTCTCTGCATCGTAATATTATCTGCGAGCGTTCAATATTGGCAGTTCGAGTGCTGGTCGAACTTGACAAACGGCCATCGGGTAGATAATTATTTTATAGCCGCTGCAACGTGCGACGCATGGGTCATGTGGATTGCAGCGAATACTGGACTTCATGCACTCTGGGTTTCTGTATTACTCAGTTGCCAGCTGTATCAGGTAAATATTCATATTATTTATTTATCATTTCATGGCATATCTATACGCATCACTAGATTAAATTGAGTGAGCGGAATTAAAAAAAAAATTTGTTTGAATTGAAATAAATTGGAATAAAATTGAAATTTTTTAGATTATGGTGTTGGGAATGACAACAAACGAGAGAATGAACGCTGGTCGTTACGAGCACTTTAAACAAGGAAATCCATTCCATCGCGGGGCTCTACAAAATATCGCAGACTTTTGTAATTTTAGTTTCTGCGGTATAAAAGCTAAACCAAGCTCTGACTGGCTTCACAGTTTTGATACTAAACATTGCGTGGAAAAATTACCACTGCTTACAGGCAAGGACAACTATCAGTACGTTTAATTACCTTTTAATATTACTAATAAGTTGTTGAAATATCGTATGTACCTAAACATTTGACAACACAGCGAATCAGGATACATTGTTGCACACTGAGAGCCATATCACTTTGACACAACCTCGTATTATTTTGTATTATTAAAATCTGTCGTCTTTTTTGTTTCATTTACCAAAGAATTTTGGAAAAGTTGAATTGATCATTTTGGTGTCGATTTGTCATTTGTGAATAAACATATTTTTTAAGAAAACGATAAAACCGATAAAACCTTGAGGATCAAAGAAAAAATATTTCTGAGATTGAAATTATTAATTTTTTCAATAAACAAAACGTTACGCTTTGTTAACGATCGTTCATGATCTCCTTTAGTATCGCGTAGAGACGGGAATAATCCTGGCAATATTCTAAAATAAAATAGAGAAAGCTCTCCATTTTTTTTCGCAGTGCAAAATTTTCAGTGATAGAAAAACTACGTGTAAATAGTTTGTATCGTTTGATGTCGAAAAAATACTCGATGAATTTAATGCATTGCTTTTCCAGGGATTTATCTTGTGATTAATTATTTTTCCGATTATTGTCTAATTTTTTTTCTACGTATGATTTTTTTATGTACAAATGCATTACGCGACATTCCAGAGTTGTTTATAGGTTCTGGATTTTAGATAAAAATATTTGAGATCACTATTGCCTGGGTATTTTGGTTTTCATGAGTACAAGTACATTCAAAACATTACCTATCCTTCGAGAGGATAAATTTTATACGCTGCGAAATCGATACACAATATGGCTGAGAACATAATGAAGTATAAAATCGCTGATTTAATTGCCTGAGCGTGATAAATATTTATTAATTGTTATGCACCATTCGATAGGCGCTCGCAATCTGAATATTCACAAACACTGAGAACCAGACAAATACATCGCATTGAACTACTGATAATAAATCTTTAGTGTCAACATAATCAAATGGGTATGATAAAGCATGGAACGATTTTCGACGAGAAGACAGATTTTTTTTTTCACTCTCTAGTCTTAACTTTAAAGCGTAACTAATAATTCCGTGTATTACTTATTGATATCGGAGGTCGAACTGAGGAGGCGGGTCAGTGTCTAGATTATTTAGACGCATTTTCATTCAGTTTTAATTATTTTGTAAGAGGGTGTGGAGTTTATTTCACAGTATAAAATTTATCTACAATATAGAAATATTCATATGCCTTCAGTTGATTCTTTTTACATCTTAGAGAATTTTCGAGAATGAATATACTTTTCCAATAGAATTAGTAAGTCATTCATTCATAGTTAGGTAATGGGCAGGTGAAGGGTGATAAATGGGTTTAGTTGTTGGGTAAGTTTTTGAGCAATATCTTTAAATTTAAGAGAGATTGTGAAATTTTTGGCGATACCTCTGGTAGAGGGGAATTAGAATTACGAAAAAAAATCGTTCCGAGAATTTCGCAATTTATCGTTGATTTGGATCCACTCTCGAACTTTCGTCCGGGAAATAGAACAATTTCTCACCCTTCAGCTATTCGTCAATGAATTCAAATTCACATCCTCATAGACTTCTAAATACTAAGAACTGTGATTTTTACAAATCGTCAGATCTACGTCTGTCTGTCTCGTGAAGTAAAAAGTGAAAATTCAAACAAAACACATGTCAATATTTTTTTCTCTTCAAACTATCAATGTATTTTAGTGGCTAAAGAAATTGTAAACAGATTGTATAAATTCAAGATAATGATGAATAATTGATCTCTACCGAAGGGCAAGAATAAAAAAATTGCAAATTGGTCATCAGATATGAGATTTTGTTTTGCCTTTGTTCAAACAAAACAGAACCCGAACTAATCCCGTGAAGCATGTTCAATTCCATTGACATTTCCATAATCATTTTGTCGTAGAAATATTTACGTTTTTTAGAGATAGTTTTTAAGGATGACCGGCGACGAGGGCAGGAGTACAGATATCTCAGTCTCGATGTCCTCAGACACATCTGCAGAAATTAAGAAGCTAAAAAAAAATGACCAAAAGTCGAATCAATCCCCGAAAAATCCTAAATCATCGAAAAATGTTTGCAAGGATTGGGAGCCGAGTGAGTGCCTTTGCCACGCTTATAGAATGTGAGTCAATATCTAATCATGACTCTGAATGTTAAATTAAAAAATTCTTCCACTTGATATCTCAAAATGCCAGAACCTCATGCGTTCCCCCAATGAACTTGGACGAGGGTTCCGGTGAAATAAATCCCTCAAGCCCCCGGAAATTCTCCTGGAAATGGCCTCGTCCAGCCCCGAGGTCAGAGAAGCCCTACACAAAGTTTGAGACCACGAGGGGAATAGATCCGAATCCCTCCAGGGTTTTACCCCCAAATATCACTCGAGACTTTCAGGAGATTCATAAAAAATTCAAGAATATCACTGGAAAAATTGAAATCTACTATTTTGATCACGGTAATGCATCGTAGGTATATAAATACATAAAAACAAAAAATTCATGCTGACCTCTCGATAAAACTCCACAAGATGTAAAAAATATTCGGTAAATTGCTAAAAATTATTGCAAATTGTGGTAACCCGTCAGGTACTATCGTACAACCGATGCAATTCCGCTGCTGACGATGGAAAAATTCGCTGACAAGACAGACCAAGCGGCCACTCGATTCTGGGCTGAATTTTTCGGAACAATAAACATAGGAATAACATTCATAACAGCATTCCTCCTTCAACTGCTTCGATTTACTCTGTACAGCTTGATAAGGCCCCTAACGATTGGAATAATTCAATTACTATCCGACTACTTGATCAAGCCCCTCCTAACGATAATATTCAATGCCCTGATTCAGCCAGTTCTCATTCTACTGTACAATATTGCAACGTCCTTGCGAGATCTCTGCGAACCAATAGCTGAGGCAATAGGTTTTTTTATCCGTGAATTGTCACGACTTTTTCAAGCAATAAGACTCGTAGAGGTCAATAGAAACGTAATCAACGGAAATATTCCCACGTGATCGATGATTAATAACAACAACCGAAGAACATTTCAACGCCAGGTATATATTCATTACTATTCAATTTATGTTTACAATATTGTTATTGTTTTTAATTTTTTTTTTTTCATTTACCTTTTCTCATTTGAATTTTTACAGAACAATTATTATTACAGCAGTTTCAACGGTTTTATCCATTTTTTTTAATTTATTGATTTCTTTCACTCTTTCTCTCAACTCTTTTTTTCACTATTTTGTTTAATAAATTATGTACAATCTCACAAACAGCAAACGCAGAAAAAAAATTGACTAATTTACATAATTGTATTTGTTTGCTCTTTCCCCTCGTTTGCACTATTTACAGATACTACATACGTTATTCATTATTCCCTCGCAAATGATCATTTGAATATCCATGATTTTTTATGAATTTTTCAGCTTGAAATTTCAACATGCATTTTAGTCTGACTCGTGTTCTTTCTCATGCCAATAATCACCGTCTTTCAAGTATTCATTGCCACTCTCTAGCTCTCATGACGGTTCGTTTTATTCGTAAGCTAAATTCGGGCAAAAAGAATTAATCATAAAAAAAAACATAATTTAATATTGAGAACAACGAACATTAGTCGCTTTTCACCTACATTATTTCATCGTTTGACCCTAGGCTCAGGAACTGCAACCTCGGTTTCTCATCAACTTTTAATTAAAATTCTATAAACGGATTTATTTTCTACGTGGCTCCACTTGGTGGATCTTGAATTGATGTTGTAGTTGATGTACCCGATGTGGAGTCACCTGGAATGATGCATATTGAGGTAGAGTAATAAAGAAAAATTATTCCAGTTAATTATCCTGGAGAGGTTGTTTCATCATATTACTGTTACATTTTTATCATTTCACAGAGTGTTTTACCTAATAAAGCTGCCTCCAAATCCCCAAGTATTTCCGTTTCCTTGGCGTCAATGAGATTGAAGCGTTGATTAAGGAGAGTGAGATGAGCGAATACACAATTGAGGTGAGCGTGGAGGCCCAAGAGTGCAACCTCTCTGAAGTGGCAGTGGTAAATGTGTGCCACTACATGGTACAGTAGCCGCAGAATCTTACGCACTATCGACTCGAACGAGCTGGGAAACTCGTTGGCTGAAAAACCACAATTAAATTATCAGAGCCACTCACGATTAGATAACTATTGCTGCATACTCAAGCCACTAATTCAATCCAGCATCACTAATTCAATAAATCCTGCCAAGACGAAGAAAATAATTACTCAATAAACTCACAATTACAATTTTTTCACTGAATTTTTTTACTCAATTCCTGTCTCCTTCAAATTCAGTAAATATTGCAAAATTTTTAAAATAGGATTTACATCTTAAAGACTTATTTTACAAGATTAAATGACGTATAATCATTAGTAATGTGGGGCTTTACCGTATTTAGTAGGGAATATTGTTTCATCACTAACGGTTCTCTGCGTAAACGTCATGACGTAGTCTATATACTGTGGCGCAGCCACTCTCGTCTTTTTCCCCTTCTCATCAAACCACAAATAAGTTCTGTAAATTTCACAGGGAATTAATTGACTCGGTGAGTGATTGAGGTATCACGATGAATTTTTATTGCTGGGGGAGATGTTACCTTAAGCCAGGCCCCGTCATATCTGGGCATCCTGTGGAGGTACAAAATTCAGAAATAGTCCCGTAGAATAGATTTATGTGGTCGAACAGTGCCAATGTGTGGGATGCGAGCCATTCGTTATAGTCGAGTCCTGGTGGCAGATCCACCAGCATCCGGAGGTCCAACTCTGGCAGCTGTCGCTCCAGTGCAGCCTCCTCCAAGTACAATTTTGGGTCTTCGGTTGTTCCTGCATCTTTCTCCTTTCGTCGGGCTTTTCTGCAATGAAAACAAAAAATATCCTCAATCCCATGGAGGTGGTCCTCGATTCAGCTGTGAAGTCGTAAAAATCGTCAATGCCATTTCAACAGATTTTTCAAAAGGTCAATTCTTACTAAAATACAGGGACTCCAAACGCTATCCCCACTTCCTCAAATCCACGCTTGGAGGAATTCCTCCACCACTAAAATTCACGATCCCGTTTTCATAGCAGAGCCTAAGAAAATGGTTGTACTTGCACGAACAGTATTTCTTTATTTTTTTTTAATTTTCATTTTTTGTCATTTTCTAGGGAAACTAACGGTAAAAGTCGGCGTACAATATAATTGAAGAATATTCAGAATATATACTTCAATTAAAAGAAAATTCATGTAAATTGCCGAATTTCCGGCGTTATGTCACAACAAACCAGCAATTTACATGAATTATCGGAGAAATTTAAGAAATTCATAGGTTTGTTCCCCTTAAATGGAAGTGAAGGTCTTTTTCCGGAATATTCACCGAAAAATAGAGCCAATTATAATAGAATGAGTCCACAAGTATATTTTTCTTTCACCTAAAAAATAGGTTTTCACGTGGGATAAAGGCCCAAGCACAATAGATTAAAATTTAAAAAAAAACACTTGTGTCGACTGATTCTCCCTGACTCATAAAAACATCAATTTTTCTCCCTTTTCCCCATCATTAATAAAGAATAGTATCTAGTGACCAGTGGAATACGTCATCTCAATGCCATCACGAGATTTCGATGAATATCTCCAAGTCCAAAGGGTACAGCAAAAATTTGTATTAGATTTTTGATCACATGTTAATTCTAACCCACAAATAATTTTACCACTTCACCACTGAATTCCCTGAATATACACCAACAAAACAATCATAAAAAATATTCGTAACCCTTCATATAATATCCACATAATTTCTACACGATAACACGGGCTTAAACCCCACAGAAAGTATTAAAATAAAAAAAACCACCTTGTCTCGACTTTTTTCTCATCACTCGTGAAAATACCGAACAGTTTTCGCCCCCTCATGAATGAAATATTCTTCATCATTTATAACAAATTAATGAATTATTTATAAAAAGATATTCATAAAAGCCGGCAATGCGACATGGAAATGAAAAAAAAAAACTCGGCGTGATACCGCAATAGCACAAGACCCCACCTGCCGAGAGCGGCAAATGCTGTTCCTTGGGAATCAGCTGTTTACGGCTGACTCGAGTCAGCTGACTAACACAGACCAGTGACGCTCGTCTCTCCCTACCTCTGCGTCAATCGATAGCCCCCCTCTCTTGCAAAACAAACTATCCCTTCATATTTCACTTCTCCAATAATCAATCACCAATTCCCACCAATTCCCACCAATTCCCACCAATTCCCACCAATTCCCACCAATTCAACGTTTATTCAATTGAAATTTTCGTCAACTGACTGACCTGCAGAAACAGGTTACCGTATCCTCAACATCAAGTGGCAGGGCATTTTCAATTGATGAGTACCGAACTATTTTCCGCCCCCCCAAACCGAACATTTTCTATTAATTATCAAGACAAGTGTTGAAATAAAAGATTAGTTTACACAGTTCTTTCTTGTTGATTTTCGGAATAACGAAATAAATGTGCTGTACAATTAATAGAAAATTAATTATTGGAGTACTGTCACAGGTGCACGTTTGACGGATGATTGGGCGATTTTCCGTTGCCACCTGAGACCTCAAAAACTTTCTGTAATGCAATTAGTAATAGGTAGTATCTAAAGCCCCACAAATGCCACACTCATATCACCTAGTCCCATTTATCTTCCCTCATGATAGATATCTATATATGTTTACCTTTTAATGTGTACTCTGCTTAATCCATGAGACAACAAGTCGTGCAGAATTTTCATTCTGTTATCTCTTGCAAGCGGAAATACCCAGTGATATGAGCAATGAAAGTTATCACTGACTGTGAAAATCGAAGAACCCCTCCAAGTTTTCAATTATATAGTAAAACCGTTTGAAATTCCATTGCCATTTTTTTAATGCGAAAGTCTATTGATTTTTGTCACTCAAAATTACTGTTCCCAACGGGACAGTCACGTATGCCGGTTAATGCCGAAAATAGCAAGCATTACTAACACTCAGGAGACACATTCATACGTGAAATTCCCGACGAAAATAACACGCGCATTGGGATTACAGTATTACCTCTTCGTTTTAATTAAATTCTGCCACGTGGATTTTTATTTTCTATCCGATACGATCATTACCACAGGGAAAATCCATTACCTAGGAATTATTATAATATATCATTTGCAATGAGAAATGAAAAAGAACAAAATGCCAGTGCGTGGTCTAGGGTATATCGAGTTTCGAGTGCTTCGTAACACTTTCTTACGATCGATAACGGAGCTCTCGAAACGTACAAAAGGGGCCAACAAACAAGATATTTTCACTGAGCAAATTCTCAGTCACGTTTATGAAAAATATATACAGTCCCCCTCATTTGCCCTATATTCACCACCTCCAACGACATCAACTGGACATTTTTTTTAAAGCGATGACGCTACTCTTTCTCATTTACGTAAGGTTAAAAGAACACGCAAACACGAGGGGCTCGTACTTTTGGAAAGACAGAGATAGTAAACAAACTGATAATAACCACTCGTTCCTTGGATAGAAGCGGCATTTTCATTTGTAAACAAGTTTTCTTCTATTTCAAATCACACTTGACTCACTGTTACTTTCTCCCGTGAAAAAAAAAAAACATTTAACAAAAATCAACGGACTGACTGTTCCAAAGTGTAATCAACCCGCGGAAATAAACATCTCAGAGTACTCAAACAATGAAAACTAATTACCAATTCAAATGTACCTGGGGCATTAATTAAAGACCGATAAAAAAAAATCCATGAGCATTAACCGTTCACAGTGAGTCACGAGAATATTCATCCTCATGAATAACTCAGTGAATAACTCGAAAAAAAATCAATGATGCGGAAAAATCACTCACCCCATAAACCAGTCCACGGTATCGCGGAGATACTCGGGTAACCTATCCAGCTTGATAGATTTTTCAGATTCACTAGAGTTTCGCCGGTGTCTCCCAGATTATCTTCAAATCAATCCAATTCAATCGACAACTCCCCAGATTGCTCCAAAAGTCACACAAGAATATTTTCAAAATTGATAACAAAAAAGGGGGAGGGGAATAGGGGAAAACAACAACGTGAAACTGGGAAATAAAATAGAACTGGGTTGGGACAGAAGGAAGAGAAAAAAATCTGATCCTTTGCGAATCAGCGCTCGACGATGAGCGATCTCATGAAATCTAACATGGCGAGGCTATTGTCACCTGTTCCCGATGTGCTCGATTAAAAATTCTCACTAAATCACTGATCCGATGGATAAACAATTTCACTGGAAAAAAAAAATTCACGGTGGATTTGGCGTTACGAACGAGTGACTCCGGTGGGACTCATGGAATGGAAAAACAATTGGGAGGTAAAGGTTAGGTTTTTGGTTTTTGGCACTGGCCCAAATGTCCTGGCCGAGAAACCCCCCGAATTGTCGTAATCTGTACACTAGATTCGCACACATCGATGATTCAACATCTTTCTGGGGTTCACCGTGTCCTCGGGCAAGATCATTGGGATGAACTTTAATTTCTTTGGTTTATTTTATCCACGAAAATATTGCACTGTCTCCGTTTACTATCGGTTGAAATAGTTTCCAGGGGGTTATTCGCTGGATCAGTATGTAACACAACAAAGGCAACCTTCTGATTATCCGTTGAATACTCCTTGTCAATGTTACGATGGAGCGAATAACACCAGCTGATCTCTCCCTCTGTGTGCGGGATTTTTTGTTGACGCCGGCGCCTCAGAAAATTTACTGATTATCGGTTTATTGACAGTCCCTTCATGTTCCACATTTGGAAATTGTGGAAGTACTTTTTTGAGTCGATGGTAGATAATTTTTAATGAGGATCCTTGGATGGTTATTTTAGACAGGACACAAATTTTGCAACCCATTTTTATACGTTTTTTTTTATTCTTGATTTTTTCAGGATAAAAATACACGTGAGAGTATTTTATTAAGTGGATGGTGAATTATCTCTGGATGGTCATGCTGAGGCTGCTGGTAGGACAGAAAACTGTTGGGACTCAGTTTAAAGTACTTTTAAATTACTCTCATTTTCAACCTATTAATTTTTTAATCAATCATGAAAATGTTATAATCTCTCTTTTTATACTGACTTTTTAATTATGACGGAGTGTATTATCCCTTTTTTGTGAATTAATAAATATCATAATAAATGCAAATATTCTATAATAAAATAGTGCAAATGAATTTACCTTAAATCAATTTTTCTCCCCGCGAACTAATATTTAACAAATAAAAACAATAATTCATTAGTCTGAACGCGGACACAAGTTGTGGCCCTTGAGTTTAATTAATTAGGGTTATTAGTTGCAACTCATTAAACCGACTTACATGAGATATTATTGTAATAAGTGGAAATATTATAAATGATGTAATTTTTGGGAAGCCGGACTATATCTGAGAGATTCTCATTGAATTTGCGCGTTAAAAGTGCAGACATCGAGATAACGAAATAATTTCATTTCACCGATCCAATTTCTGCGGAAATATATTCTGGAGAGAAATATGTTACAAGAAATGCGAATCGACGAACCGAGTGAAGAAGAGGAAAACCAGACGGACGTGATACTGTAAGAACCGAAATACTAATTACTCTTAAAAAGTTTTAACAAAATTTCTCCAACCATTTAAAAAAGAACACAATGATTAGGATTTAAATAAAAATTTGCTCGTGAATTTTTTACTAAAAAATTGTGAATTTAATATATATAGGGTAAATCTCACTGTAGAATTTTTTTTCATACCGTTTGACTGAAATTTCACTTTTTCTTGTAATTAAGAGAAAATTTTTATCTGGACTGCATGGAAGTGGAGGACTTCCCAGGGATCAGTGTACATCAACAAGATGTCATCATCTTCTCGGCTTCAAGACAGGGTCAATTGAAATTCCCCGAGGATCAAATCGAATCGGTATAGTAATTTCCAAAAATTCAACAGTTAATCACAATTTTCAGAGATTTAACAGAAGAATCTTCCCAGATTTTTCAGGAAATTCAATTAAATTACAAACGGCTCATGTGCGAGTTAACCTGGAACAGGAGAGCTAGTCCCATCAGTGCTACTGAATATTCAAAAAGAATTCTAACGGGGATGGAAAATTTTGAAGTAGTAATTTCACTTGTAGAATTCATTGAATCGTATCAAATCCTTGAAAATTGCAGATAACAAAAAACTTCGTTCACTGGAGCACCTTATATGTTTTGCCTGAAATCTACGATGCAGCGCGTTGCATTAATGAATTGAGTAAAAAATTGAATTCCATGTGCCTTTTCTCCCTCGACCGAGGAAAAGTATTACCTCTAAAAGAATTTGAAGCGCAACAAATTCAAAGCACATTAACTGTCATTAAATACATTCGAGAAGAGTGGGTTGACAGAATTATTCAATCTGTGACGATGCAATTCCGTGACATTGGAAAAGGTGCCTTTGATCTTCGGCAGAAAACTCCCCACGTATACGATGTTATCAAACTTCCACGTTTTATCAATATGATGACATTACGCATGCAGGTACTGATAAAAAACAACTTCCAGTAAACACAGCCGAAGGTTCAGTCTAAAACAACAGCTCCAAACATTAATAAAATAACAGAACCATGAAATATGAATTATTAATTATTCAAATCTCTCGCGGAAATGATTTCAATATTATTTTGCAATTATTCCTTTATTATTAGGATGCCTTGAAGACGCTAGTGAAGGCATCCATCGAAAAATACGCGGATGTCTTGTCAACTCCTGCAGAATGCACCTCAACAGTCCAATCTCATTTCACCTGGGGTGACGATCTAATGAAATCATTATTTTCTCCCATTCAAAGTCCAATTTTCCTCATTGAACTAATCATGAATGATAACGGCGCCACATACACAACCGATTTAACTCAATTTCAGGTAGAACTATTACTGACGCCAAAACATTAATTAATATTATACATGTTCGTATTTGATATAGAAATTCACAAATATAATTGACATTATATTTATATAATTTCGATTGATACTATTTTACCGATGACAAGGGACTAGTAGTTTTAGAAATAACGTGGAAATCCGAATGTGGAAAATTTTGCTAATCGTGAATTTTCTATCAGAAAATTATTATAGAGAGATTGGATGATGCATTACTACTTTGCCACAATGTCAAGCAACCTTGTGCCACGTTACTGCCAGGATTGACTTTTCCACCCGAGTTATATCTCAGTTCTATTGGATTGCTTGACAATGCAGTCTGTGCCATTCGTGGGAAGCTCTCTCAAGCATATGAAAAAGCTGTCCTTCCACTGCAAGCTTATGCAAAAGAATTCAACAAATACCAAGAATTTCATCTAATGGAACCAGAAAAATACATAGCGTATGTAGATCGACTCCTTGCAACATTCATTCCATGAAAGTTGGAAATTTTATTCAAAATTGTATTCAAAATTATTTTTTTAAATCATGTAATATTCGAGAAAATGAAATCATCTGTGTAATTATTATATCGCCATATTCCCATCAATCATCAATCGATCAATTAGGATTAAGTAATGATTACATATTGTTTAGATTATTATGATAAAGTCGGAAATATTGACACCAAGTATTCAATTAAAATTTGTGTAGGCTAATTGAAAAAGAGGAAAATGCAACGGCTGCTATTCAGGAAAAAATAGCTTTCCACCGTGCGGCTCAATCGGAAATTGAAAATACTGTACCTGACAAGATCATTATCGGACCTTTCATTATCAAAGTAGCCAGATTACGCAATGTCCTTACAGAAAAACATAAAAATCTTTCCGTTCGGTTATTAACGCTGTTAACTGACAAGTTGAAAATGCAATTAGACGACTTTATGTTCGAATACAGCGAAATCCGACGAAAACTCAGAGAAGATCCAAAAAGTATTGAGGAGATTTTCGAAACCCGAGAGTACATAGAGAATCTTCCACTGAGGATCAGTACTTTGAGTGACGATGTAAACAGATTGAAAATAGGGTATGAAGTACTCGAGAGTTTCAAATGGAATGTACCCGATGAGGATTTTCATACCAAGTGGCAGTGCATTGGATATCCACGAGTGATTAATCAGCAGGTGAATATTTTTCATACAACTCCGATTTCAATTCCACCAGTCACATATTAAAATTTGATTATCGCTAAAAAACCTTGTAATTGTAGATTTCGTACTGAAATTAATACCCCAATTTTTATTTCTTGTTGAAACGAGGATTTTACATTACCCTTTGGGTTATATGTACTAGAAATTTCATTATTTCCGGTGTACGAATCCATTATTTCAATTTTTGTATGTTTCATTCCATGTTAATAACTTCCTTATCCGATAGGTCATCATTGAAATAGATGTTAAACAAGAAAATGGAGATTATCTACATGTTCGTTCATTAGTGGTTATTCATGTTAATTTTTTTTCGCAGAGCTCTATCGAACCCGAATAATAGCATACAAGGCATAAAGAGACTGATAATATATATAATTAATATATAATATATGCTCAAGCTACAATTTGAATTCCATCCCCTTTTTGAACCCTCAAAATTTATCCCTTTTCCTCAGATTATCGAAACGAACGACTACTTATCAGAATGCGTTGAGAAATTCTCGAAAGTAGAACTGGATGATGAGACGACATTGTCCGAGAGAATTATCATCGTTACTGGTAATGTAGTGGAATTATTACGTCAAACAGATGGTGACAAGGTGCATGAGAATGCTGTCGATGCGAGGAGAATATGGAAAGCTCTGAAAAGCTGTCAGGAGCAATCACTTCTGCTTAATGAACGACGTAGATTATTTGGAATGCCACCCAACGATACAAACTCTCGTCTCAACGAATTGGAACGTCAATTCGAGCCTTACAAGACCCTTTGGTGTACCGCATCAGGTGCCTAAATTTTTATCCAAGCAACTGCCCTTTGAAAATAAAATTATGGCACAGAAATTCTATATCTGCAAGAAATTCCACAAATTTCTTTTACGAATAATTATATTACTTGATTACTCTTCATGGGCTTTTTGTCTTCAATCAATTCATTTTTTGTAATAAGTACGTTTTTATTTATTATTATTAAATCTGGGATTGGACAGACTGGCTGAAAGTTGAAGAAATCTGGATGGACAATCCGTTGGCTACGATTGACGCGGATGAAATGGATTCTTTAGTCACTGAGATGCAGAAAGCTGTAACCAAGTGCAATAAAATGTTTCAGGATCAGCCAAGTACCTTCATTATTTTTAAATAATTTTTTTTGTTGAGACGAACATCTACGTGTGAATCTTAGTCGCCAGTTTACCGGAGCATTTAAAGTTTTACGGAATAATTTCCAAGCAAACATTTATGACAAGATTTCGTATTAAAACCAATTCGTATCAATGAATCTTACGATTGCAATAATTAATTTATATTTAGATATGCTATCAGTTGCGGTCGATATAGGATGGAAAATAGAGTCTTTCAAGCCGTACGTCGGTCTCGTGAAATCCCTGAGGAATCCAGGACTAGAAGCTAAACACTTGGAGGAAATAAATAGCCGGACAGGAATTAAAGTTGTTCTCACTCCACCGTCGAACCTCAAGGGTCTTCTGGACCTTGGAATTATGGATTTCAAGGATACAATTGCTGAGGTGTCAGACAAAGCGACACAGGAGTACACCATAGGTTCGGCTTTGGATAAAATGATCGCTGAGTGGGCGTCTGTGAAGATGGATATTCTGATTTATAAGGAAACTGGCACTTGCATAATGAAAGTATCTGATGAAATATTAATTTTACTGGAGGAGCACATTCAGGGAACTCAGCAAATTGGATACGGACCGTATCGAGCTATTTTTGAAAAGCGAATGGATGAGTGGGAGGGAAAATTAAAATTGATACAAGATGTTTTAATGCAGTGGATTAAAGTCCAGAAGTATCCAGACATATCCAGACTTTTATTATTTTTATTCTACAGATGCCCTCAAACCCGTTTTATTTTCCAGAGCATGGATGTATTTGGAGCCGATATTTACTAGCGAAGATATCAGTCGGCAATTGCCCATGGAAGCCAGAAAATATAATGCGATGGATCGGAATTGGAGAAGAATTATGAAAAAAGCTCAAGAGTCTCCCATTGCAAGTGATATTTTTGCCCATTGAGTGGGTTACTAACCCGCGAAATATTCAGCCCGACATTTATATCTAATCAAAAACAAAACAAATAATCCTCAAGTATAGTTATTCAATGTGGTCATCACGCGGTATTGATTGCTACATTCATACCGAATCGAAGTAAAAAAAGTACTTTTATCGTAACAAGATGACGGAAGCGATCAAAATACGACTGGTTTTGTAGGCAGACTTTGACAATATTTTTTAATAGGGTTTATGTGTTTTTTTTTCATCGAGTTTTGTTGACGAGATTATCGACACATACTCCCATTTAATTATTAATTATTATTGATTAATTTGATTGAGCTCATTGCGCAAAGTATATTTGAATAACATAGAATAAAATTGGCGGGGAATTGATCAGTTCAATTACCCGGAGCACTGGTGTACAAAAATAGATGAAGAGTGGGCAATTCAATCTCTCAATGGTATCCCCAATCCTCTACAGATCCTCAGGACTTGTCCCGATAAAACCTTATTGGGCAGTTTGAAGGAATGTGAAAATCTCCTGGAGATCGTACAACGCGGTCTTTCCAACTATCTCGAAGCCAAACGCTCGGCGTTTCCCAGATTTTATTTTCTCAGTGACGATGAGCTTCTGGAAATTCTTGCGCAGACTAAAAATGTTAGAGCTGTACAACCGCATCTCAACAAATGCTTCGAGAACATGAGGGAATTGAGGTTCGAGGAGAATTCCCTGATAACGAGAATGTATTCAGCGGATGGTGAAGAGGTTGAGCTGAAATACCCTGTCAATCCAGTTGGACACGTGGAGGTCTGGCTGGGTCAGGTCAGAAGTAATTAAAATAATAATTAACTTGAGTCTTGAGGTTCAGGTGGATAATGACGTATTCATGAAATCTCACGTGTAAAATTTCTCATACAGTTGATAGAACGCGTGGACAAAAAATCAATCTGAAAATTCTGTATTGTAGTGAGAAAATCTGCAATGAGAATTGTTTATTGAAAATTAACATTACATCAATGTTTTAATGAATTGATAGTGTAGGTTGAACAAGCCATGCAGAATACTCTCAAATGCATAATTGGAGAATCAGTGAATAATTCTATAACCGAAGGTTATGAGGAGTGGGTGTATCTTTGGCCGGGACAGGTCGTTATCTGCGCCGACCAAATAATTTGGACAGCTCAGGTTGAAAATGCTATAAATTCCAACTCTCTGACTGAATATTACAGAGTTATGCTGGCTCAGGTAAATCCCATAATTCTCTCTGACGCGTCACCGCACATTTTTTTTTGTAACACTCGGATTACAATTTATCGTTTCAACAATTGTATAAACTATTGGGGGTGTTTATCGAAACATATTCTTTATGATACTATCACAAGTTAATTGGTCATGATTAATTATGCAAGCTGGACACACTCAGGGACTTGATCAGAAAAATGCCGACGCAAATTCAGAGACTCATGCTCGAATCTCTAATAACAATTCAAGTGCACGCACGGGATGTTGTCGCCAGATTGATTGAGAAAAAAGTTGGAAGTATGGGGGATTTCAATTGGAATTCACAGATGCGATATTATTCGGAGGACTCTGATGTCAAAATTCGTGTAGTGAATGCCGAATTTTTTTATGGGTACGTCTTAAACGTTTCAGTAATCCACAGAAATTAAAATTCCGGAAAATGTGGGTCGTAATCTTAATAATTGGGAATTTACAGCTGAAATAAAAAATAATTATTCACCAATCAATTGTAATAATCATGAATACTTCTGCTAAAAAATTAATCACTTACATTTAAATGTTTTTCGTATGAATATTATTACTGGGCTGTTGGATGAAATTATACTATTATATTTTCGATAGATACGAATATTTAGGAAATAATGGGAGACTCGTTATTACACCGTTGACAGAGCGTTGTTATTTAACATTAACTGGAGCATTGCATTTGAAATTCGGTGGTGCTCCATCTGGACCAGCGGGCACTGGCAAAACGGAGACAACAAAAGATTTAGCGAAAGCTTTTGCTATTCAGTGTGTCGTTTTCAATTGTTCTGATCAATTGGATTATATATCAATGGGAAAATTCTTCAAAGGTCTTGCAAGGTATTGCAATTCCATATTTTTCATGCATTATGCACTCATAATTTTTTTAATCTGTTTCATTTATATCTTATTAAACGATTACAATGAGACTCCTGTATTAATTAATCCAATCAATTGTATTATTAAATTATATAATTTACCAATGAACCGAAAAATTTCAGTGCAGGTGCCTGGGCATGCTTTGACGAATTCAATAGAATAGACATAGAAGTGCTCTCAGTAATTGCGCAACAAATTCTAACTATTCAACAAGCCCAACAAATGCGCTCCTCTCGGTAGATAATTTTCAATATGTCTAAATATACTGAAATGAAATAAAAAAAATTACTTTCAGATTTATCTTCGAGGGCTGTGACATATCATTGAAACCGATGTGCGCAGTATTTATTACGATGAATCCCGGTTACGCAGGACGCACAGAGTTGCCTGATAATTTGAAAGCCCTTTTTCGTCCAGTTGCTATGATGGTCCCCAATTACGCACTAATCGCCGAAATTTCTTTATTTTCATACGGTTTTTCCGAGGCTAAAATTCTCGCTGTTAAACTCACAATGACATTTAAATTGAGTTCAGAACAGCTCAGCACTCAGGATCATTATGATTTTGGTATGCGAGCTGTTAAAACGGTCATTGCGTATGCAGGGAATTTAAAACGTCAGCCTGGAGATCTTGATGAATTCAAAATTTGTGTGAGAGCTTTGAGAGATGTTAATGTGCCAAAATTTTTTAAGGACGATTTGAAACTATTTGAGGGTATGGATTTATTATCGTGGAATGTTATCAAGTACTCTACCCGTGGTATTGTATTTCAGGTATTTTATCGGATTTATTCCCCGGCTTGGAAGCACTCGAGGCGAATCACGATTTACTAGAGACACAAATTTCTGAGACAATTCGAAATCAGGGGCTCATGGAAATTCCGGGTGAGCTTTTCGAAATCCTTTTCATTCTACTTGCCTTTCCTTTTGATCAACAGAAATGAGAACAAATCATTATTATAAAAAAAATAGATCAAGACACACTAGAAAATTTCAGCTCAGCAATTTTTTTCGACAGTAATTATCCCAGTAAATTGCACAGAAAAATCGTTTCAGTAGAATTTACTATCCAAGTCATTGGTCTTTTCTATTAATTTTTTTCGTGCGTAGCAAATGGATCGCCACGATAAAAATAATATCTTATCTTCCATCGGGGAAACTTTCCGCTTGAGGGAATAAAATAAATACCGAGTTTTATGAGCCATTACACCGAGGGTAGTCCATGGAGTCTAGTATTTTTATTATAATATTCTTTTGGTTCCAGAGCAAGTACTCAAAGTGATTCAACTCTACGAAACGACAACTGTCAGACATGGCTTGATGCTGGTTGGACCAACGGGTACGGGAAAAACAAAGGTAAATTTTCTTGGAGATGATGTCGGAATAATTTATATTTATTTGATCATCACATTTTACCGGCTGCATATGTTAATATTAATATTAATATTCGTAAAAATTCGCCTGTTACTTGTCTGTCACAATTATACAAATGCCGGTTTATCATCCAGACTAATGATCAATTAACAATTACCCAACACATAAAAAGTGTACAATTCACGCTCAAAAACTTGCGCAAAATAATCTCAGACGTGACAATGTATAAAAAATGTATAAAAGTGTTGAAAAAATTTCGACATATTGAGAATTGGTATTCAATACGAGGAAACAACAAAATGGGTGAGCAAACAGCATGAAATACTCACCCTCCCTTTGAGTCGTTTATTTCCTCAAGTGGGTGAGTGTCGATGAAGGGAAACGAGAATTCCAATGGGCGGCCATCCCATACAATAATGTGAGACGTGCTCGGCATCTCGCCTCCAATTGTTAATGCCCCCCATTATTTCAATTTCAGATCTGACATTTACTTGATATCTTCCATAGAAATTTCTCATCAATTCAATTTTCTCGGTTGTACTTTCCAGACAGCATGCCATGCATTATATTTTTCTGAGTTATTCCGTTGGTATTTTTTCAGTTTTAATATAATTTTAAGTCTCTTTACCCCAGCCCTCCTTTTTTCCACATTTTCTTCCATTGATATTTGCATTGTCAGGTTTTCTATCCCCCACGCAAAAGAAACCTTCAGACTGTCTCATATCCGGAAGTGTTAAAAAGCCATCAAAAAAGGGAATTCTAAGCAATCAACTTCTCTTTTATTCACCTCCATACAATTCTCTCGGTCTCCATTCACTACTTCAAATTACAAAACATAGCTTACACTATACTATACAGATGACAATCATAAAAATAATCACATTCTCCTCAATAATTTATCATTCTTCTGATCACGGGAAACTCCTCAAGGTACAGTCATTACTTAACAATAATATACGACAATAAAGTTCTGCTAAAACATTTACACAATTGCAAGGAATGAATCGATTTTTCATTGTTAAAAAAAATTGATCAAGACGAGAATGTCCTGAAACAGGAGGAAGAATAACATGAGCATCAGCAGAGATGAAGTCTAAAATCGTGATGGGAGAGTAGACATCATCATTTCCATTTAGTATAAAAATGGTAACTGACATTGAATAAGGGCAAAAGATAGATTTCCAATCCCATTCTCCAGACTCCCCACTGCATCCTTATAAACGTTCCTCTCGAAAATGCGCCCTGGGAATACGAAATTTCCAGTGGAAGTACACAAAATACAATGTGTTATGGGGAGGGGGGAGGGGACGTAAAATTCCATTGTCTACAGGGAAAGAAAAATTATACGAGATAGGCATAAATACCGAAGCTCTTATCATGGAGAAATTGTCAAGCTCCCATCTGGTGAATACCTTTTATGTTCTCCTTCCAACGATACGGCTAATATTCATCCAGGTACATGGGAACCGCTGTTTCAAGTGCAGAAACATGTAGATGAACATAAAACATCGAATTAATGCCTCATTGATGCACTGGGTCTATGAGATGGTGGAGTTTCTTCGTTGTCTGCCGAGAAACCTGAAGCTGCAACATTTATTTTCTTAATCAAAAATCAATTGATATTTTTATTGAACATACAGATATATATGATGGAGGATAAGAGATTGGGGGCATTGACAATAACTTGGCGGTGATGGATGGATCCAAGAGCTTAGGGAACTTTCGATCAACCTTTGAAGAGGATTAACGAAATTAAGGGATGTGCCAACCTTGTTATCCAAAATATTCGGCTCAAAGTTTTCTGCAGCAGTTGATCGAGGCAACGACGAAATGTTGCTCCACACATCGCGTAGAGGAGAAAATTAACGCTGAAGTTTGTGTAATAGAGGAGCATAAAAAATTGTTGTAAGCACCACAGAAGGGCTGGTCCCTCTTTCTTTGCGAAGGCAAGGAAAAATATACAGAGGCGGATTCCATAGCTGAAACGAGGAAAGACCTTTTATTTTCACTGAAAAATTGTACCTCCATTTTTAATTTTTTTTTTTTGCATTTACCTCGGAAGATTGAGAAGAATGAAGACTGTACTTATGAGGAGTAACATTTTTGTTATGTTCTGCTGGTTTTTCATTGATACCAGGCTTCTGGAAGAGGATCCCATGGCTGTTGACAAATCGAAAAGAGAAATATATCCCAAATAAAAATTGATAGGTTGGAGTTTAGAGATTGTAATTGATAAAAAATGCCGGTTTATTTGAATTCGTGTCGGGAGGAATGGGATTGATTACGGCGATAGAATATTTACTTATGTATTTGGCGCCGATTTCCGGTACTTGATAATTCAAGTGACAGGCTGTACTGGACGAGGGTTGAACTGGTGATGTTATATTAGCAGTTGCTGTTCCTGGCATTTCCACATGACCGTTCGATGCCGTTGAGTGTTGAGAGTGACTGTTTTTTGACGAATGAAATGACTGTTGTGATCCAACTCCATTTCCCATTAGAGGTCCCAGCATGATTCCGTCATGACTGCTATTTTTGTTCTAAAAACAAAAGTGAAAATGCGAGGTAGCCCGAGAGATATTGGTAGCGAAGGAAATTTTAATGAAGAACTACAAAAAAAAAAACAATATATATGAATAATATTTTTAGCGACACTCTATGTATTAATCTATTTCTAGATTCCTAAAATCTCAATTTAGCCGATTGCATGCTCAAAAACGTACCGATGCACCTGTATAAACTGCAGTCTGTATTTTTCCGGTGGGTTTAAATCAAAACAATAACAAAAATAATGTACATCGATAAGATAAAATTCATTTATTGCTTTTCACCGCGTATAATTAGTCTTCGCAGTCGTGAAAAATCTGTAAATCATTTTTTTTCAGGGTACATTATTTATCTCAGCCTTGCGCAGCCTATCGAAAATGGACGTGTCATACCTGAGGGAAAGAAAATCGAACTGACATGGGTGATTGTCACCCGGGGCTAGCATACAAATAGGGTCGGGTGTTTTCCCCTTCCGTTGACGCAACACCCGGAAAAAAATTACCCCGATGTTTAGTAATCGTGTAACAATCCTGAAGAAATGTTTTCCCTATTTTTTTATCGTAAAAAGATCACAGTTAAAATTATATATAATTATATATAATCACGTAATATTTTACTAATTGTTTTCTATTCTTTATTTTAAAAATTGTAATTTATTTTCTCATGAAAAATATTCCGTCAGATTTAGTTAATGTTGACTTAGCTAAAATTTTTTTTAGAATATAAAAATCGATTTTTAAACACGTGTTGTTCGTTTATCAGAAGCATGAATGGACGCATTACGCAAGATGTATGAATGCTCGGACAGAATCTTTAAATAGAATTATGGATGAACGAATCCACAGCATCAATCAAGTGAATTCTCCCCCAATATTCTTCCTATTATTTTCATTCAGCATTAAATTTTCAATGCCATATCACATTCCATTCTGTACAGCGAATAATTAAATATGTTCTAAAAATATTATCCTTCATTCAATCATCTACCAATCTCACCACTAACACAACAATTATCCACTAATTATGATTTAAAAAAATAAATCAATTGCCGATTTATTTGTCGATCAATATAATTTTCATAAGTGATAACACCAGAATACTCACCGGAATTTGATTGAGATTAATATCAGATGGTCCTTTACTGTGATTGGAAGCAACACTAGCCCCGGGTGTCTGTTTAAATCTCCGACTAAACTTCAACAGATTTCGCATAATCATCGTATTCATAATAACAATGAGCACCAGAGGAATGATAAGACTGACAATAGTATCAACTGTACTGATAATTCTCATGACATCCTCGTACTCCTCCTTGAGCTCGCAATACCGATTATTCGAGTGCTCAACAATACCCGCGGTAATAAATGCATACGAGTGTCCAATCATTGCCAATATTGTTAATGAGCATATGATTCTCTTAGCCCTCGTTACAGTGCACATTTGTGGCCTTTGAAGTGGATATTGAACTGCGATAAAACGTTCAACTGTAAAAGCAACTATTAACCAGACACTGAGAGAACTACAGACAGCACTCATGTAGACAAATATTTCACACCAACCGGTTGCATTGAACACCCGCCAATTGAGCTCATTGTCCAACCAGACGAATAACAATGCTACGAGAAATGCAAAATCTGTCATTGCAAGAGCTGCGAGGTAATAACTTGAACTGCGCATTCTCAGATAAGCATTCAAAAAAACAGCGCATGAGAGTAAATTTCCTAGTAATCCCACTATTATTATTGTGGGAATGTAATAAGTGTGGAAGGCCTCCAGGATTCTCTCCACTGAGTCACAAGGTGTTGGTCCATCACTGTAATCACTCTCATTACCAATGTAATACGATACATTTGTGTGATCCTGCACTGAACGTCGGTATCTTGTCACCGAGCAATGTACACTCACTACATACATCTTTCTCTTTGCTTTCTTGAAATTATTCCAATCTCTTCTTCAACTTCTCACTAATTATTATTACGTATCCTGACATTAACTAGGGGGCACCAACTAAAATATCATTGTTAGAACTGATTATCTTTTTTTTTCAGTTTGATATGGTGTACCAAGTTGTTCGGCAAATTTTCCATTTGTTTTCCGTTGCGCCTTGCACGCCGGTTTTTCGGCTGCCCATTAGCTTCCATGTATCTTTCATTAAGTTTTTCCAATCTTTCACTTTTTCCGAGATCTTTCCTAGATCGATCACTCGATGTTGGTTGGAACTGATGAGTTGTCAGGGTTTGGCTTTCTGTGGCAGGTGATTATGGAATTTTTTTTTACTATGACTAAATTTTGTTGGGAAAATTTTCTTTTCGGTGTCGGTACACAGATGGTCCAAGTCCAACTGTTTGGAAAGACATGGACCAAAGATTCTCTTAGAGCTTTCAAAGTTTCAGGTCGCATGCGCAATTTCGGGATGTCATAATGCGCCGGTCTTCTATTTCATTTTGAATCTCGGGAGGGAGAGATCCCTGGTTTATGGTGCTCGCGTGATTATTGCAATTAGTCCCTCAGGTATCACTATTAATTAAGACGAAGTAATGGTTATCACGTTCGAGAAAATGAAGAAAAATTATGGGTTCATTCTGCGTGTCCGGACGGCGTTTGGGAATAATGGAGATTGAGTGATTATCCGGTGGGCCGTGACGAATTGCCGGACAATTGTGTCTCTGACCATATATTGATTCGAGAGTACATTGAATATTCCGATTTTTTCCGTTCAAATAATATTGTTTTTTCTCTATTTTAATTACTTTTACAATGAAAAAAAACATATAATATAATACGAATGGTAATATAATTAATAATTATTAATAATATTAATTGTAGTGCTACCAAATATTGCAAGATGCATGTAAAATGCTGCAAGGTCAGGTGGAAAATTCCGGGTGTACTTTCGAGACAGTTGAAACATTCGTACTCAACCCCAAAGCAATTACACTTGGCCAACTCTACGGAGAATTCGATGTTGATACACACGAGTGGACTGATGGAATTCTACCTTATATGGTACGAGCTGGAAGCTCTCTTAATGATATTAAAAAAAAATGGTACATCTTTGATGGTCCGGTGGATGCTGTGTGGATTGAGAATATGAATACCGTATTGGATGATAATAAAAAATTATGTCTAACATCGGGTGAGATAATTAAACTCTCGCCTCGACAGACAATTATGTTTGAAGTCGGAGATCTCAGAGTCGCTTCTCCCGCCACTGTCTCCAGGTAAAAAATAATTTAACTCTTATCAGACTGTCAGTAATACAATCAATGGGATTTTTATGAAAATTTTGCCTTCATTTTCTCGATTAAATACCAGGAATATTATTCCATTATTTCATAATTATTTCATTATAATTATTAATTAATAATTATTTCATAATAATAATTATTTCATTTATCTCCGCTAATTATAAATATTACTGATAGATGTGGAATGATTTATCTGGAATGCGGAACCGTAACGCATGAAGCAATAATTGAGTGCTGGATTGAATCTCTCCCTCCGGTAATTGTATAATGAAATTACCATTGAGCGGGAAAATATCCTTCAGCTGTCATGATAAATTTTCAATTCATAGACAATGCAAGAATTCGCAGTCGAACTGTCGGAATTAACTTATCAGTTGCTTCCCTCGGCCCTCACTATTTTGCGCACTCAACTGAGGGAAATAGTAACGACAGTCAATGTAATGATGGTGCAGGCGTACATAAACCTTATCAATTTAAGATTTTCTCCAGAGCTGTCAGGGGAGGGTTCAGCCCCTCATCCCGGGGAATCAACGGCGGGAAGAAATATTCGTGAGAATTATTTATACTTTCTCATGATGCAGTGGACCCCATTTTCTCGGCACTTTTTTCCCCATTTTTTTTTTTCACTTTTCCATTTTTCAGGTGATTTGTTGACGCCCTGGGCAGCATTTGCAATTGTCTGGAGTGTTGGTGCTAGTTGTGACTCCGAGAATCGTTGGGCTTTCAGTGAATGGCTTAGAACTATTCAGAAGAATTACAATCATCGCACACAATTTCCAGATGATGGCCTAGTCTATGATTACACGTAATTTATATTTATTTGCAAGATGCTCAGGTTTCGCCATAACAATTATACCATTAATTATAATAATTGTAATTAATAATAATTATTTATTTAGTAATTCTACGAGGCATTCTCTTAGAATTATAATTAACAAAAATAAAACTCCATGCAAATCGTTTAGCACAACTCGACATTTTTTATTGTTTCATTTATTTCGCGATAATTAAAAGGACGGTATTATTATTAATTTGCAAATTAGAAAATCGTGGTTATAAATTATTACTGTGAGGTTTTCATTTTCTCTGCAGTCCACGCAAAATATTTATATTTATATTTATTCAATTTATCAGATTACAGGAAGGTTTTATAGATCCGTCCACACAAAATTATATTTCCCCGAGATGGGTAAAATGGACGCATGTCATCGAAACGGAAGCCCCACCAGTACTGACTCAATTTCACGGTAAATAATATTTCTTTTACCATTGCTTGGAATATTTTTTCAAATTAATAATTTTCTATTTGAATGAGCAGATATCGATGTACCAACCATGGACTCAATACGAGCCTCTACTATCATCGGATATTTACTCGTCAATAAATTAAATGTTCTCGCTGTCGGTCCAACCGGAAGTGGAAAAACGGTTACGATTTCAAGAAAATTATCAAGGCACATGCCAGCAAAGTTCATTACTGACTTCATCATTTTTTCAGCAAAAACATCTTCTCGCAAAACCCAAGTATATCCCATGAGCTGAAGACCATTTTTATTAGTTCGACCAATAAATCATTTAATTCGCTTGATTTTTTATTGGATACAACTTTTTTTTAATTTAATACTGCCTCCAAGACGTTGAGAATTCATGGAGAAAACTTTGAGTTATGTCTTATCGATTTCAGGATTTGATTGATTCCAAACTGGAAAAACGACGGACGGGTTGTTATGGCCCTCCTGTGTCAAAGAGGCATTTATTTTTTATAGACGATTTAAACATGCCAATGTTAGAGCAATACGGCGCACAGCCTCCCTTAGAACTTTTACGTCAATTTCTGGATTTCAAAGGTATAACTATAAAAGTGAACATTTCCACTGCAGGCGATTCCTAAAAATGAAAACCTATGTGTACAGTAAAGTTGTATAAAATCAAATACAGTAGAATCCCGTTATAGTCACACCTCTCCTCAATTTCTGTTTTCCCATATCTTTTGGTTTCCAGACTCTACTACCCCCGGGGTCCAAGATGTAAAGAATCCATTGTTTCGCTCGGTGAGGAATTGAATCCCCTGAGCAATAAAGCAGAAAAATATATTTCTCCCGCATTCGAATTATGTGATAAAAATATTCAGTTTACAGTCGCAGGGAATACCTGGTGGGGGTATATTAATACTGGAGTTGCATATAGTCCAATTATTGTATATAGTCCTAATTCCTTTCCCCTACAGCCCCCTGCACACGACTATAACGGGAGTCAACTGTAAAATTAACAGCAGATTATAAAAAATGTAATTTTTTATCATTAGGATGGTATGACACAAGTGAAATCGGTGAATTTCGTGAGATATGCGATGTGAATATAATTGGAGCAATGCAGCCTCCAGGAGGTGGTAGGAACTCAATAAGTGAACGTGTAATTCGACACTTCCACATCATCGTATTTCCAGAAATGGAGGACGAGGCCAAAGTAATTATTGAAGAATCGTTCAAACATTGATATGCCATTGAGGAATTCATTCCGCACCCATATCAGTTGTTTTGCTACCAGAATCATTAACAAACCCTCTTGTGTGTGGATAGGAGTGAAACAGATCGATATTGGTCACCTCTATTTGTTCTCTCCGTACCGCGTTTTAAGGGCTCGTGGTATTTGAGATAATTATACCTCGTAACTCTCCTCTCAATCGTTCAGAATTTTCCATAATTACTGGCAACCCTTGAAACATTTCTACTCTCCCTTTTTTACCGCTCATTTGAATAACGTAACGTAATACATCCCTTTACACGTGTCTCTACTTTTTACGAGTAGATAATGGAATTGAATAGACAATTGTATTGGGTTTTTAATTGAATTTTTATGAGTTTTTCTAGTGGAAATTCCACGATTTTCATTTTGTCCACTCCAATGGGTTTTCAAGAAGAAAATCAATGAGCAGTGTGAATGAGTGTGGAAATAAAAACTCTAGAGCATCGTGTAGCATTCAATGTATGATTCAATCAATTTAATTTCAATAAAGAACAAATCTCGGTTTACGGATGGACTTATTGCTCGTGGAAAATATGTATGGAAAATTCCACGATTTCCCAATAGAGACTCTCTCCGCTTAATTGCATTCTATCAAAGCAATCCAGGGAACGCAACGAATCCCATGAATATTTTAAAACTAATTCAGCGCTGAGAAAAAATTTCGCTCTATAAAAATAATTTTTTTTCATGGCTTACGAATCCAATAGTAATTCATATTATATTTGCAGAGAAAAATTTACGGAACAATAATGAAATCCTGGTTAGTGCGTGGTCCATTGTCAATTGAACTACTCGATGGTATCCTTAATGCCACCCTGAGCCTCTACAACGCGGTGTCCCAGAATTTTCTGCCGACCCCAGACAAGTCCCATTACACTTTCAATTTGCGCGATTTTTCGAGAATATTTCAAGGAGTCCTCCTCGCTGAACCGGAGAAGATAGACGTAACTTCACTTCTCCTTATCTCTTTAATGTTATTTCATTTGCTGGGTAATAGCTGTATTGCGTGATACTCCAGACCAGTGAGAAACTGCTGTCCCTGTGGTTTCACGAGGTTTCCCGAGTAATGGGAGATCGTCTAATCAATGAAACCGATCTGCAGAGATTCTCTGTAGTTCTACGACTGACACTCAATGAAAATTTCGGAGAAATCAGTGCTCGGGGACTTTTTGATGGTAATCCAGTATTATTCGGGGATTTTTGTGGACGATATAGGGAGTATCAGAGGATTATCGACTATCAAGAAGTATATTTATTTTTAGTTATCGGTATCAATTGAACTGGAAATAATAACTCGAATGATTCATGATTATATTGTTATATCCATATCTGAAATTTTATTTGTCAGATGGAATCTGTGTTCCTGCAAAATCTGGAGGAATACAATGCGACAAATAATTCACCCATGAATCTTGTCCTTTTTGGAGAAGCTATGAGTCATTTATGCAGGATAAGTCGAATTCTTCGACAAACTAGAGGAAATGCTCTCCTTCTTGGTATGGGAGGTTCCGGTGAGAACTGAAAAACATTTAATACTAAGTAATAATTACTTATAACTCTGTACACTGAGAAAAAAAAATCCGACAAATTAATTGACCGCTGTTAAGTAAAGTTACTTAGCAATAGTAATTATTATTCTCAGTTGAGTAGCGAATTTTATTTGGCAAAATTATCATGAGAAAAAAGTCAAGTGGAGGAAACTTGTTTTAGGGCGACAGAGTCTGACGAGACTGTCAGCATTTTTGGGAGAGCACATGTGTTTTCAAATCGAGTCAAAACGTTCTTACAGTATCAACGATTGGCATGATGATATTAAATCCGTTATGCTCAAGGCTGGATTATCGAGGCGATCTATCGTATTTCTTTTTTCCGATACTCAGGTGAGTAATCTCCAGGATTACTCCAGGGTATTTTATTCCCATGCTTCCTTCACCTTTTCCGCTGTTGAAATTTCTCATTTCGTTAATCATATAAATGCTGATATTAAATCTCCTCAATAAATAGTTTGAAGATGATCGGAAAATGCGGTGTTACGAGTCTTCGTAACATTTCTCTACTCTTTTCTCTTTCTTTTCCATTTTGTTGACACCTCTAGGGCATCACGTACCCTCTATTTTCCTAGATAAAGGACGAGTCTTATCTCGAGGACATCCATAATATCCTCAACAGCGGCGATGTGCCGAACATCTATCAAAAAGACGAAATGGAGAAGATTTACAGTGATATGAGGGTGGAGGTTCAAGAGGCGGGACTTTCTCTCAACAGAACGAATCTCTTCAATTCATACTTGAAGAACGTTAGGAATAATTTGCATACCGTTATTGCCATGAGGTTCGTGTCTTGATTTCAATGCTAAATTTACTTAGCAAACATGATTTATACTCTGTAGAAATTTATCTTGAGCATTCAAGTGAAAAAACTTGAAATCAAAGTTGCATTCACGTCTTTCAATTTTCTTTGAAAATGTGCAGCAATTTATTGCGTCAGAGATTCAATAAATTATTTTAATTATCCTAATTACTTTACTAGACAAATAAAAAGAACATCATGTAATCATGGTGTAAAATTCCCAATTGCAGTCCTATCGGTGACGATTTTCGTCGACGCTTACGCCAATTCCCGGCTTTAGTGAATTGTTGTACAATCGATTGGTTTCATCCATGGTCTGAAAAGGCTTTACAGGTATTTAATTGAAAGCTCTTTTATCTACATTAAGCAATAAAGCCACAGTTGATTATTATGAAACTACGCGGAGAATAAAAGTTCCACGAGAGCCTAGTGTTATTGACAGGTATTGACAGCTTTAAGGATTTAATTCTCTGGACATTAACAACGATTCTCTCGTCAAACTAAAATAATTACTGGTCTAATTTTATAAATATTGAGGGGATAACATTTTTTGAAAAATATTCACACCAAAATGTAATTGCGACGAAATTTCATCTAGATTATGAGTTACTGATGTTGGAGTAGTTTTTTAATTTGTTAATATCTGAATTTTTTTATTTATGGAGAGCGTCGCCGTTCGATTTATCGGAGATATTCAGGATGATCAAGTTACCGGTGAAGCCCTGGACTCCATCGTTGCAACGTGTCAATTTATGCACTCGTCGACGATTGAAGCTAGCCAGAAGTATTTTCAGGTATTTTCGAGGAGAAAATATCTAGCCGATGGGAAAGACCTGAAGTCTGCAGGACAAAATTATAAATATGACGTTTTGTTCAGGTACTGAACCGCCATAACTACGTGACACCAGTTTCATACCTGGAAATGCTATCGAACTACGGAAATCTCTTGTATGCCAGAAAGAAAAGTCTGACGATGGAGATGTCTCGTTTATCTACTGGTAACCAAAAATTATTCATGTACATAAACACTAGGGGTATGTGCAAATATAGTAGAGTGGAGGTGGAAGGAGATAAGGGTGTGTCACTCAAGGAAGATATCAGAAAGTCGCAGACCCTCGATCAGACCTCCTGAGGGTAGATTTTCGCTGAATTTGAAAGTCTGAGTGATGAAGCCACTGAACGATACTTGATACATCATAGAATACATAACAAAAAATCCAATCGATCTCTTTCCTTTTTATTAGTATTACCTCGTATAAAATGGCACTAAACGTGTTTTTTTTTTTTGTGAGAAATCGAATAGGAAATAATGTACTCTCAGGATCACAAGTTCATTAATTTCGATTAACGTAGAATTCCAAAATCAAATGACTTGCCCTGAAAATAAATCTTTCTTCTCTGTGACTCCAAATTTATTCATTAAACGACGGGTAACCCATTTTATTACTTGTCTCCTCCAAGTCCTGATTGTCCGATCAATATTAGTACATTAAGCAGAAAGAATATAGAATAAATTGATCATCCACAAATTTCGACGGCATATATTGATATCCATTTAATTGAACCGATTTAATTTACCTAGGAGATAAATCTTTTCTCATCGTACACACAATAATTGAATGTAAAATGGTATTTGAATAATTATTGAGTTGATAATTCCTGATTAGGGCTCAATAAATTATCAGTGACTGAATCAGAGGTCAAAGAGATGCAGGTGACGCTCGCCGAGATGAAACCAGAATTGGAAAAAGCTACAGTAGCTACATCGGAGATGATTGATCGCATACGTGAGGACACTGTTGAAGCTGAGAAAACCAAGAGTCTTGCTGAGGAGCAGCAAAAAGAGGCTGCCAAATTGAAACGAGAGAATGAAGCTATTCGCAATGAAGCAAATATGGAGTTGAGCCAAGTGAAGCCGATGCTCCAGGCGGCTGAGGCCAGTTTGAAGGCACTAAATAAGGGAGATATCACCGAGGTCAAAGCCATGAAGAGACCTCCTGTTGGGGTTGTTCTCGTCATCGAGGCCATGTGCATCGTCCAGGATGTCAAACCCCTCAAAGTATTCCCATCATTCACAAAAGATATTGTTTAATTTCCAAACAATTACGGAAATATATTCCTCTAGAAGTAATTTTACCGATTAATTACTCAAAAGATGATGATTAATTAATTGTTTAACGCAAATTAGATTTATTTATCCATCGAGTATTTAATATTCATATTTATCATCCATTCGATAATCATATTTAAAACTTGAACAGAATAAATGTGGAATTTAAGTTGAAGAAGAAATTATTTCTACCTTATTCATGGTGGAATAAATTGCTCAGAAGGGAAATTACATTATTTTTGAAAAAATGGATGCAACTTTTCTTATTAGATACCCGGTAGACGTCCAGGTGAAAAAATTCTGGATTACTGGACCCCTGGAAGTCAATTACTGTCGGACGCAGGTCATTTTCTCCGGGAGCTCGAGAGTTTCGATAAATCAAGGATCACCGAAGATATGATAAATAAATTAAAACCGTACATAGAAAATCCGTCGTTTCATCCGAGTAAAATTATTCAAGCCTCGAAAGCCTGTCACTCGCTCTGTCTCTGGATGCATGCGATGTACAATTGGTACTTTGTTAATCTCAAAGTCGAGCCAAAAATGGAGGCACTGAAAAATGCTGAGGCAAGTCTTTTGGAGACTGAGAGACAGTTAAACATGGCAATGGAGGAGTTGAGACAAGTTGAGGAGGGGATTCAGAGGCTGGAGGATGTACTTCATATGGAGATCGATAAGAAAACTAAACTGGAGAGAGAGGAACAGCTATGCGGGGAGAGAATGTCAAGGGCTGTCAGACTGATAAATGGTCTGGCTGATGAGCAGAAGAGGTGGATAACTGCCATTGGTGATATAATGATCTTGTATAACAATGCTGTCGGTGATATTCTCATATCGTGCGGTGGAATCGCTTATCTCACTCCCTTCACTGATGATTACCGACGCGATTTGTTGAACTCGTGGACAAGAAATTTGGAGAGCATTTCCTTGAGTGATGATCACTCAGCTGTTGCCGTTTTGGGCGATCCTGTGGAAATTCAGCAGTGGCACATCAACGGTCTTCCCAGGGACTCATTTTCCGTGGAGAACGTCATCCTCTCGAGAAATGCTAATCGCTGGCCACTTTTTATAGATCCACAGCGACAGGTCAACAAGTGGATTAAAAAAACTGTGAGATTTTGGGGAAATGCATTTTTTATTTGATAATTTGAATCGTCACACTTGGAATTTATTTTTCAGGAAAAAAACGCGGGTTTATTAATCGCCCGGATGACTGATAGGGATTTGGTGCGTGTAGTTGAGACGTGCGTGAAATTTGGTCGACCCTGTTTAATCGAGAACGTGCAATGCGAATTGGAATCAACGATCGATAGTGTCTTGATGAAAAATGTCTTCTCCTATGGTGGCCAATTGTCGATAAAAATTGGAGATAATGTTGTCCCCTATAATGATCAATTTCGGTTATATTTAACCACTAAATTACCCAACCCTCACTATCCACCGGAAATTAGCGTTAAAGTGCTGCTGGTGAATTTTGCCTTGACCAAAAGGTTTTTTTATTTCCTCTCTGTTATCATCAATATCTTGAATACATTTCCCTACTCGAATTTTCAAAATTTAATATTTCATATTCATTCACATGCATGAAATTGTTTATTGAAATGAATATTTTATTTAATTAATAGTGGACTGTTGGACCAAATGTTGTCATTAGCGGTTTTACAAGAACGCCCGGAGTTGGAAGCAGTTAGGAGGGACATAATAATTTCGTGTGCAGATATGAAAAGGGATCTTAAAGATATTGAAAATAAAATTCTGGATAAATTATCGAAATCGGAAGGTTCTGCTGTCGATGATATTGATCTCATTGTTACACTTGAATCTTCCAAACTAAAAAGCGAGGAGATTAAGATTAAGGTTTCCTCTGCAGAAGCAACTCAAGCGGATATTGATCAAACACGATCTGCGTATTTGCCAGTTGCCAATCGAGCGCAAATACTATATTTCGCAATCTGCGATTTGAAAACCATTGACTTCATGTATCAATACTCATTAGAATGGTTTACGAATATCTACACAGAGAGTATTATCAATACTGAGAAGTCCAGTGAGTATAAATTGTCATATTTTTTTCATGAAGATATTCTGCGAATTATTTGACAACAAATTCAGAGTGAATATTATTGCTGTGAATTTCTCTCTGGCTATGAATTTTAATGGAATAACAAATTTCAGACGAGATTGAAGAACGTATTAACATGATAAACAACGAGTTAACATTCTCAACATATTCCAATGTCTGTAGGAGTTTATTCGAAAAGCATAAATTGCATTTTGCATTTCTTATTTGTATCAGAATATTAATCGATGCAGATTCTGTGATCACGGATGAATGGAGGCATTTGCTGTCGGGCGGAACTCCTCCGCAAGTAAAAACAATTTTTCAAATTAATCCACTTGTTGGATTAATTTCAATGATTGATTGCTATATTTTCAGCAAAGTACGAATCCAGCGCCTCAATGGCTTCCCGAGCGCTCTTGGCAGGAACTCCAAGCCTTAAATATACTGCAAGAATTTAAAGACTTTACGGAATTATTTCGTAATCGTTTGCCAGACTTCAAAATTCTGTACGACTCAAAAGAACCCGAATCGTATGCACATTTTAATTTGCAAAATTCTATTTAATTTTTTTATTGACTGATTTTCATCGTAGATCACTTGAGCAAAAGAAAAAATATTATTTGAAGTATATATTTACGGTTTCAGAGAAAAGGAACTGGACTCGCTGACCAAAACCGATTTCCATAAATTACTGGTCATAAAATCCCTCAGACCAGACCGACTTATCCCTGCGATCCAATTATTTGTTAATAAATATCTCGGTAGGCAGTTCATAGAGTCGCAGAGTATTCAGTTATCGAATATTCTTCAAGAATCCCATCCTAGAACACCGATAGTTTTTATACTGTCCAGTGGAACGGACCCTGCGGCGGAGTTGTACGTTCTAGCTGAGGGTGAGGGGATGAAGAAGAGATTTTTTACGATATCCCTTGGTCAAGGACAAGGACCACGAGCTGAGTCGATCCTGCGACAATCTCTGGAAGTGGGGAATTGGGTTTTCTTTCAGGTAAATTAAAAGTCATTCGAGTAATCTGTAATTAATATGACTCCTGGATCTGATAGAACTGCCACCTCGCACCGAGTTGGATGCCCCGTTTGGATGCGCTTATCGAGTCATTTCCTGATAATGTCCACCAGGATTTCCGTTTGTTCCTCACCAGTACACCGACTTTGAATTTTCCTCCGACGATATTGGAAAACTCGATGAAATTAACTGTTGAACCGCCCAGAGGCATCAAAGTAATTTCATTAAATAATTCGTAATCCACAAATTTTATTAAAATATTATTATTATATTCTAGGAATATTCTACGATATTATTCTTATGTTTTTAAAAAATCGAGAATTAATATTAAAATTGACTTCCAGAGAAAAAATGTTTATTTTGTTTATTTACAACTTAATTCGATTGAAATTAATTTCAATTTATAAATAAAATTGTTAATAAAAATTGAATTACTCGCAATTCATTTTGTAATGAACTCTAGGCGAATATGTATCGAGTGTACAAGACGCAAATCCCTCAACTCCAGGAATTATTCACAGCAGAGGGTGTGAAAGTGAAAGAACTGAAATCATTACTTTATTCTCTCTGCTTATTCCACTCGATTCTTCTGGAAAGAAGGAAGTACGGATCATTGGGTTTCAACATCCCCTACGAATTTTCCGACGGTGATCTCGCAATATGTATCTCCCAGCTACAAATGTTTATCATGGAATACACCGAAATTCCCTTTGAGGTAGAAGTTTTTTATTCAATTAAGTAATAATCAATATCTCGTGTGGACCACATTCTCGGTAATGAGAGAATGAGGAAAGCACGTGTTCTATGGACTCGATGACGCAGATCTTTTGTCGTTCATTGAATTATCCCAATTCACCGAATCGCAAGAATGATGCGGTATTAATCGGAACAGAATATCATATTTTCATCACGTTTTTTTTCTATACTGAGGAATCTTTATAAAAACATGAGGGGATGAAAGCTAATGCCGTAATGATTTTTATTTCATTCTCTTCATCGTTGATTCATAATAGTTTATTAAGGAAAAATTAGTATAAATAAATAATGAAATTAGTCTGATTATCCTGTTGCATTTATTTCTATTCTAAGGGAGAACAAGGAAATCCTGATTTTTTTGGGTGATAGCACTTTTTTCGAATTTTTCTCGGCGTGAAATTTTTCCGTCCCTCCATTAGCTTTCACGTTATTTTGTTAATCTTGCCATTTTTTTGTGTTGAAAGGTATTAATATACACAGCTGGACATGTAAATTACGGAGGAAGAATTACAGACGACTGGGACAGGCGATGTGTTCTCACACTCCTCCAGGATTTTTATAGTTCCGAAGTTCTGGGTGAAGATTACAGATTTGACATAAAGGGATTATATCCACAGGTATTAAATATGCAAATGCATTAAATAAAAAAAAAATCCGATAATCCATGTACTTCCTATCACGTAGTACAATGTTCACACATTCATTGATTACAAAGAGACTCACAATATTAAATCCAAAAAGGATTAAACCCACGAGTTTGGAATGCGCAGAGGATATAGAATTAAATAAATAAATTTAAAAAAATTGTATGTCGTGTCTGCAGGTACCAACTAGTCACCCAGAATTGTGTACGTATGACAGCTATTTGAACTCAATAATGCAATTACCTCTCAATGATGAACCAGAAATATTTGGTCTGCATTACAACGCCGAATTAAGTTATGCGACTTCTGAGGGTTATTATTGCACAAATAATCTCGCAGCATTGCAACCCCGATCCACTGAGGGATCAGCTGGGGGTGAAGCCGCAATTCGTACAATTGCGGATAATCTTATGGATAAAGTACCGGAATTATTCGATGTTAAAATTATTCAGGAACGGTAAGCTGATTCTGGAAGTGAAACCAAAGGGCAATATTTCCTGACACTTTTTTCAAGGTTTAAAAAAAAATTTCATTGAAATTGACTTGAAATTTAAAGTGCAAAGAAAAATTGTCAGGAATTTTTTGGCTTCATTATTGTGTTGTATATTGAATATTCAGAGGTAATTGCCAGTTAATGAACAAAGGCTTTTCAATATCCGTCTCGATGGAATTTTTATTCATTTTTAGCCATCCAGTACTTTACGAAGAATCCCTCAACACAGTCTTACAATTAGAGACAAAGCGTTACAATGCTCTGATGAAAATTGTCTCTAGCTCATTGGGTCAATTAATAGCAGCACTGAAAGGTGAAATAGTCATGAATGACATGCTTGAAACAATGGCGAGTAATTTGAACATGAATAATGTACCTGAACAGTGGAAGTCCCGAGGATACCCTTCATTAAAACCCCTTGGTAAATCGTGAATTTAATTGCTCCACTCAAATTATTTTTTAAATTAAAAAAAAAATTTGGCTAATTCCATTAAATCTATCGAATTTTCTTCAATTTTATTAGAATATTCAAAAGATATTCAATATTAATAGAATCGCCTTCTCTTTCTTGTCTGTTTAAAGGGGCATGGATGTCAGACTTGATCGAGAGAATTCAGTTCATGAAAAATTGGAGCGAGAGGGGAATGCCCGCGTCATTTTGGATTTCTGGATTTTTTTTCCCGCAGGCGTTATTTACAGGAGTCTTGCAGAATTTTGCTCGAAAACACTCACTCCCAGTGGACACGATTGATTTTTCGTATCAAGTACCATTTTTTCCTGTTTTAAAAAATTTGATTAGCTATAAAAAAAGTCCTGTAATGCTTACTCCTCAGATTGATAGTTTCCGATATCAATGGAGAGTTTAAAAAATATTGAACTCGGCATATTTTTCTATTTAATCTGCGACGGAAACCAACAATTTATACAAATTTTTTAACAAAACGTTAAAGGTCCTGAAAAACTCGCCTCAGAGCCCGGAAAAAGATGGTTGCTGTTTGTACGGTCTTTTCCTCGAAGGCTGTCGATGGGATGGAAATACTCTCGAGGAGTCTCTACCAAAAGTCCTGCATTCAGGTATTTTTTTAATGAAAATCCAAAGCTTTAAGGTAATTCGCGTGGGAAGTTAGTACATTTGCCTTAACATTAATTGGAAAAATTTGGATTCAAACTTGCATAATTCCGTGAGAACATTTAATGATTTTTCTGTACGTTTACTCATTATAGACATGAAGCCGATTATGCTTCTGCCAGGGCGAATTAAAAAATCTCCAGCCCAGGGCGTTTATAATTGCCCTGTCTACAAGACCCTTACGCGGTCTGGTACTCTCAGCACCACAGGACATTCCACGAACTTTGTCCTTTGTATGGAAATTCCCAGTTCGAGGGTAGAGACACATTGGATTAAAAGGGGAGTGGCGTTGATATGTGCTTTGGATTACTGAACTCCCTCTTCATGATATCATTTCTTTCTTTTCGCAATGCTGATAATCTTTGTTATCCTCAGTGCACTAAAAATGACTGAATTAAAAATTTAATAAACTGCCACATTAGCTCTCCGTTACTCCCGCTCTTCAAAAAAAAAAAATAAAAAAAATATTGGCAATTATTTTTAATTAAAACAAAACATTTTGGTATTCACAAATTCATTTATTTACAAAGAGAGAATATTAAATCTCCCCAACAGGCATAAACTCCTTGAGCACGTGAGGCACCTCAAACATCTCTGGATTCTGCTCCAACAAACACCCCAACATTCTATTAACATTTATAACTGTTCCCGAGATAGCAGCGGGATAAGCCCTACCTATGGGTGTCTGATAAGCAATTAGCAATCGCTTTGATAGATAATCCCCGTACATAGAGATGCTTCCGACTTCCAGGTACTCACCGTAATAGTGAGACCAGAGCTCAAAACCGACTCTCAAACATTCAGCAGGTTCCAGCTGCCCCGCGGAGCGCAAAATTACACGATAATGAATTCCAAGCCCGTCATAGAGGTCAGTCACAACATCGATAAGCTTCTGGAATTCGTAATCGTACTCCTGGCTCCTGAAATCTCGAGTCATCGATGTGCAGTGAACAGCGGATGTCTGACAGACCCCGAAGAGTCCCAGATCCATTCCGTTCTTCACTGAGGGAATGTAATTTCGCCCCGTAGCAAAATACCTCAGTGGAAATTGCTTTGGATTCACTAATTGCCTTGTGTGGAGAGCCAGAAATGATATTAAACTCGCTCCACCGACTAGATGAAGTCTATTAACTGATTTAACGTTAACCCCTTCATTATTGTTGATAATAAAAGAAGAGAATGGATCTTCGTGATCAATTCCAGCTGCTTCAACCAGTAAACTTCGGGCGAAATCGGTTCCAGCTACTCGAAAAATTCCTTTATCCGCTAATAATCTACTTGCATAGGATTGTACAGCAACTTCGACGAGAGCTGCTGCATCGCAGAGATAGAAATGGAATTGGTTCGTGTATTCCAGTAATCCCAGGTTCTTGCCAATTGTCAGATGATCCTGTGCTCCAGGCTTTTTTACCGGCTTTACACCAACTGTTTTTAAAACTTGGTCTGAGGACTCTGGAGTTTTTTCGTGAAGCTCGTTGGGCAGTTGTAAGACTCTAGGGATTATTGTTTCGTCTAGATCCCAGATAATTTCTTTGATTGCCCGGAGGTCCTGCTTCAGGACTTTTCCCTGTGTAATCAGTCCATTGAGTTCCTCCTCCTCTTCTGGAGTTGGAAATTCCAGTTTGGATAATTTTTTTATTCTGTAGGCAACTGAAACTCTTTTATCCTCAATTGTCCGTCGGTTTGCATCTATATTTTGATAGAATTCCCAGGCTGATTTTATTTCCTCAGCGTTGACATTTATTCCTCGGAGGTTCAGGTTTCGCTGGAGCTTTTGCACCTCGGCGAAGGTCTTCGTGTAGTCCAAGTGGGGCGTCAGGTAGGAGAAAGTCTCGAAGGCCTTACGACCTGGGATGTAGAGGGCGGATGTGTAATTTCGAGTTGTGGAGAAGGTCAGGAGATTTAAGGAGAGCTTTAATGTCCTAGGGGAGATTTTGTTAAGCATTTTGGAGTTAAATGGATGACGTTTTGGGGACGTCTATTTCATTGAAGGCGTCACGGGGAAGGGTTTCGATTTTTCTCTTCTTCGAGGATATCCAGTTGCCGTGTCCTGCAGCTCGTTCGGATTCTTCTATAGTGTAGGGTTCGTCTTCGAGGGCTTTCATTCGACGTTTGTGGACTTTCGTCGTGAAGTGGTCCTCTAGGGCTCTGTCGTTGATAAAGTATCTCCTGGTTAAGGGAATTAAAATTGATAATTACAAGATTATTCCATTTACAGTGCCAGTACATCAATCAAATTTCGGGGATTACATGAACACTTTGGAGGTTAAAACCAACGACTTACGCGCAATGAATACAGTAAAACTGAGCAGATCCAGGCTTATCGAAATCAACATCCTGATTCAACAGCTTCCTGGCGTTCTCCTCCTTAAGGTCATTATCAATCTGCAATAAATAACTCCCATGACTTCAGAGAAACTAAAAAACATCTCGTTCCACCGAAATAATAAATACTGAATCTTCCAGGGGATTTGACCCACGTGGTTCCCACGTGAGACTTAAAAAATCCAACCACCTCAAAATCAGTACCTCGTCAAGATCCTTGATTTTCCTCTTCGTCTTGGTCCCCTTTTTCATCCCATTACTCTGGACATTTTTCTTCCTTTTGTACACCATCTCGTCTGCCAAACACTTCGAAACTTCAGGGAAATTGTTGTAATAGAGAAAAATCCACACTCTAACCCAAAGAGGATTGACTGAAGTAGAGGCTCAGTTCTGGGGGTTTGAGTGACCCCAGCGGCATCGTAGTACTGCACCCCAAGAGAGGGAGGGCGCAACACGCAATGCTGGGGTGTTTTTTTTTTATTAACCAAGTTTTTATTACAATGCTGGGGTGTCCATCAAGTCGACGGGGTGAATTTTATTTTCTGCTGTACGAATGCTTTTTGTTTTTCATTTGTTTAACTGTAATTTAGCCGACTGTAGCACGTACGGAAGGGGGAAACCACATCTTGTGGAATTTCAATGGAAAAAATTATTCAATGTATGGAATATATACCACTAATGAATTTTCAATTCTAAATGAATACGTTATCCTAGTGGTAACGTGCTCGACTGGCACGCCGGCGGCCCGGGTTCAGTCCCGGCATCATTCTTTTTTTTTTTTCAAAATAATTCCAATTTTTTTTTTGTTAATGGCAAATCAATCGAAATATCGTTTAAAAAGTGAATATTTGAAAATCCAAGAGATATGCAGTGAAATTGAAAAATTAGCAATTTTTTAAAACGATACTTTTGCAATATATATACTCCTAATGAACTTTGATTATTGTAATAATGCGTTATCCTAGCGGTAACGTGCTCGGCCAGCACGCAGACGGCCCCGGTTCGATCCCGCCGTCATTCATTTTTTTTTTT